CTATATTACCATACTCACCATCTCTCTTCCCAATATACTAGTGTACATTATCTCTCTTTCTCTCTCTATATCTTTCTCTTCCACACCCTCTCTCTTCTCATTTCTCCTTTTCTTACTCTTTCTCCCACCCTCTCTTTCTCTCGACGACTCTCTCTCTCTTCCACGCCTTCTCTTTTATGTCTCTCTCTCTCTCTCTCGCAATCTCAGTTACAGCTAGGGGGGGGGGATAAAAACCCCTCCAGTATTTTTTTTAACCTGAGATATTTATCCGTCCACAGTCGGTAGGCTGGAATATCATCCCTCTCCAGAACTTTCCTCATCACCAATGGTTGACTCTTCTTAACAAACTCCTCGTGAAAAACCCAGGGGGAGGGGAACTTATGTATAACTGGGATCTCTCCAATGGGATCCATATGACTTCCCAAGGGCTTCAAGTGTCCAGGAGGGGCAGTTTTAACAGATGGCACAATTAACAGCACGAAAACCCAAAAACTGCTCTCCATTTTGTAATTTCCAACGTTTGAAGGAGGGAATTTGGCCATGATATTTGTAACAAGATATGCACATAAGAAAAGATCACAAGAACATTGATATTTATTTTATTATAATTGCAGATTCATACTGCACATTTGCATTTAATTATACAACGTTATACACCGTTTACTACGGAAGCGTATTAGTGCTACGTAATATTTTTAAAATCGGAAATTTCAACTTTAAAGTTGGAAATTCCAACTTTAAAGTTGGAAATTCCAATCATTTTTTTTTTTTTGCATTTTCAACTTCAAAAATCGATAATTCCAACTTAAATCTTGGCGTTTCCAACTTTAAAGATGGTAATTCCAACTTTAATCTTGGCGTTTCCAACTATAAAGTTAGTAATTCCAACTTTAATCTTGGCTTTTCCAACTTTAAAGGTGTTGATTCCAACTTTAATCTTGTTTTTCCAACTTTTAAGTTGGTATTTCCAATTTTTATGTTGGCTTTTCCAACTTTAATTTGAGATCTTCTAGCTGGTCCCTTTTCTTAGTTTTTTGAATTTTTTCCCCTTTATTTTAAACCAATAACAATTTTATTTAAAACCAATGCATAAAAATAGAGTGATTGACAATGAATCATCGCAACCTAGAGGGGTTCAAGGAGGGAACCCTGTTAAGAAGGGTGGACAGACCCATACAGCCCCTCCCCCTCTCGGTTCATACAGCCATACACAATAACATGATTACATTTCCATCATCATTTCAAAAAAATATTGTATCTTTCAATTTAATTTCATGTATATAACGGTAACCAAAGTTCAGCAACAAAGTATCTGAATATAACGTGTATATAAATAAGCCGTACAAAAAAGTTCTTTTCCAAAATTTAAACTTGGAAAAGCCAAGATTAAAGTTGGAAATTCCAACTTTAAATTTGGAACTACCAACAAAAGTTGGAATTGCCACTTAAAAAAATTTACCTGGCATTTATACGCTTCCGTAGTTTACCAATGCCTTCAGATTTGTCAGTAAAAAATCAAATAATGAAATTATCGTATGGCTACGAGAGTTCATCCAAATTAAAGCAATGTCACAACGTCAATAAAATTCATACTAGTCACTGTCGACGTAAATCAACAAAATTACAATTTATGAGTTCATTTGACTCATGTTGAATATAAAAGCAGGTAAAATAGGTAAATAATCAAGTCATGCATAAAAAAAACGAACACATCTGCATGCATGTTATTGATTATACCTTCTTATTTACAAAGATTACGTTAACACCCCCTCTCCCCCCAAAAATCTTGCAATACCGGTATTTACGCAGATAATACTTCTCCTTCTGAGTTATTCTTCATCGTTGGGGTGGGGTGATTGGGGTGCAGAGGCGTCCAGTTTTCAAATCTTTGACATATTTCACAATAAATACGTTAACGTATTGTATTAATTGCCTCTTATGAGTAAATAAAACAAAACGCGCCTCGTATATGTTAGAGATGTATATTGAAGAAGTATTATTTACAAAACATATATTTTGTGTTAAACGTAGCATTTTAAAACATACAATATTAGGTGATTTTTGCCCTTTTGTAAGAAAGTACTCTCTATAAAAATTTTTGTCCCCCACTGCGGCGATAACGATTTCGGTTTGTCTGTCTAGCTGTCTGTAACACTTTAATTTCCACGCAATATCTCAAGAAGCCTTTGAGCTTTTGCAACGAAATTTTATACAACTCTCTATTGCCAGGTGCGTAGCCAGCATGGAAACGAAGTGTACGCAGAAAACGGTCGGGGGTCTGGGGGCCGCCCTGAGGCCCCAAGTGGGTCCAGGGCAAAGCCCTGGTGGGGGCCCAGGGGGCGAAGCCCCCGGAAGCTCCTGGATTTTACGAAATTTTTCAATCATTTTCTCGCAAAAGAAATCACAATAATATCACTTTTCTCGAGCAAACACTTAGCTATAAGATATACTGCTTCCATTGATACTTCGGGAAGAGAAGGATAATTTATCAAACTAATTTACGCATATTGTGGTATTGGAAAAAGTTTCCAAGTGTATCAAGATAAAACAGAGTAGCAATTTCAATATCGTTATCATTGGAGTTTAAATATTTCAAAATATAAACGGGGGGTGTTGTTGTCTTTTGATTACCTTCATATTTGATAGCTGAAACGATTCGAGAATGCTTCAATTATAATATAATTCTTTAAATTGGTATATAACATCAGTAAAAGAAGCTATATTATTATTTATTTTGTTCACCATAATTTAAGTTGTTTAACGACATTTATTCATTACCTCTACGGAAATTAAAAATCTTGGATAGTCGTCCAAAACCTTTATAACTTTTTCTTTCGATCAAAGTCCCTTAGATCGCTTTCCTTATCAAATATTTGTCCGGATAATCGTGATTACGCGGATTAACATTTTGGTTTAACAATTTTTTTCCTCAAGAATGTTGAAAGATGTTTTTGGAATTGATTTTATAAAGGACTAAATTTGAATGTGCAGACATGCTGAAAAAAATTGAATCCAAACAATAAGACGCAAAATAATTTGAAACATGGGTAGTGCCTCTTTTTTCCCGAATAAAAATCTCTTTTTCTTTTTTCCTTCTTTTCTTTTATCCCTCTTTCTTTCTTTCTTTCTTTTTTTTTTGGAAAATGATGTGTACGCACTTGCGTACTTGCGTATAGGCAGCTACGCGCCTGATTGCCTAAAGAAGATCCCTTATTGATTTTGAGGTAAAAATGTCAAAGGTCATAATTCAAAACTTCTGTATGTTTTAACACTTTCGTTTCCACACGGTAACTCCACAAACTTTTGAGCTTTTACGATGACATTTTATACCACAACACTCTATGGCCTAGGAAAGACCCCTTTATACTTTAAGGTCAAAAGATCAAGACCATAAATTTTATATATATAATAACCATTCTGTGTGAATGTAAAAATTTAATTTCCGGGCGATATCTCAAGAAGCTTTTGCGAATTTGCAATCAATATTCATACCATTACTCTCTATGGCGCATTGTTACTTTGAGTGCCCTTAGCCCCCTTTTCCGAGATTCGCGTATGCTCTTCTTCTTTCTATAAGCAAGAACAAATAGATTCTCTGAATTATTCACTATTTTTAAATATATTTTTCCTATTTCTTTCATCCATTTCTGTTAATTAAGCAATTAAATAGCCAGTGCTCTGTTACTACCGGTAATACAATATTATAACAAATATAGAAAAATCAAGTTATAGTTTTAAACAAGAGATGTTTGTAAAACATTTATGCCCCCCTCCCCAAAATAATTGGAATGTTTTTTTGAGTTGAAGGGGCATAACTCTGTCCAAAATGGCCAGATCATATACACAAAACAGAACTTGGCCTACATATTCTTATGATAAATCTGATAAATGTACCAAATTTCATTTAAATATAAGCAACCTTTGCGAAGAAAATGAACGGAAACTTAATCAGATTGAACGGAAACTGCAAATTATTGGAAATTTTCTAAGTCCAAGGGCAGAACTCTTTCCATAATGGCCCTATCATACCCAAAACAGAATTGACCTAGATATTATTAGGATAAATCTGTAAACCAAATTTTGTTTCAATATGTGCATCCTCTGCAAAGAAAATGATAGGAAACTGACGGTGGACCAACAGACAGACAGACCGATGCATGGACAGTAGCAAAGCAATACGCCCTCCCTTCTTCGAAGGGGGGGGGGTTAAAAAAAAGAGTATAGATTGATAAATGGTTGAAATTCAATGTCTCAAACACTGATATCTTGAATACCATTGATATGTCAAAGTAATTTGAAGGCCCCAATCCCTTATTCTTTACCTATTTTACCTTAGATATCTAAGATTTTCAGATATCTCTAAGGCTTTGTTTTTTTTCAACACCATTGAATTTGAGATAACAATTAAGATTTGACCGTATATCACAATTATCATCTTATATCGCCATGTTTATGTGTTTACTCTCTGGCTTATTATATAGATACCCATAACAGTGTGCTTCCCAAGATAAAAAAAAATGCAAGAAAAAGTCAAAACATGAATTGCATTGCAGGGTCGACCATGTAACCAAAATAAAAGAAAAGAAAAAAAAATTGCAGATTTCAAACCAAAGGGCATCAAAATCACTGTTATCATTACCCCTGATTGACAGAGTGCATTATGAAATTTAGGCTTATTGTTGTTTTAAAAAATTAAGAGTTTGAGGGAAATAGGAACAGAATCTTACAAACATGACAAACAAATGTAGCCTTGTTTATGATTTTTTAAAATCATATTGAGTAAAAATCACTTATATCCTAAGATTTTGTAAAGAGGTGTGTACCAAAGATGGAGAGTCATGAGATCCACCATTTTGATTCAAGGCAACCAATCAAATCTATCTAAATTTCTAATACTATAGACAAATCAAATATAAAAGAAAACTTCCTCAGAATGAAAAAAAAAAAACCCATAATACTCAGCAACAATGGACATTTTTATTATGCAACATAACTTACATATATTCCCATTACATTAACTCAATTATTTTTTATAAATGTTACAAAAACAAAATGCCACAAGTAAAATTTATGTACATATATGTAAAGGTGCTGCCTTACAAATACATTTTAACACCAAAGTAAGCATGCATAATACAAAATATAATTGCATAGAATGTTTGGGAATATTTTATAAATCATATGAAGTTTATCAAAATAAACACAAACCATATTTTTATACCCTTATAAATATCTTTTAAATACTAATAGAAAGTAACAAATAAAATGTTTATTACTTGGTCTAACAATTTCACTGTTGACCACCTGCCAGTGCAACATAAGAATTGTTAGACCGCAACGTCACTGCTATATCACAAATTATTAATCATCGTTCAATATCAGCGTCACGAAAATAGCCAAAGATTAGAGCTGCAAGAGTTGTTGCTACTAGTATTTGGAAGACAGAGACTGGAACAGAAAACCATTTTGTGATAAATAATTCTAATAGCTTTTCTTTCTAGGCTATTGTTTTATCTTTATTGATTAAGCCAAATTTTTCCATAAGATATAAAGTTAATGATAATACAGCGTATATTGACTAAATCTTAAATTAAATGAAGGGTATACTAAAACTAAAAGTTAAAGACTTTGATTCGGCCAACAAATCAAATATTGCCCTCATATTCAGTCAATAACTGTATAATGCTGTCTAGTACAAAATGTTTAATTAAAAAATTGAAATCACATTTTGCATAGTATTCTGGAATGCAGAGAGTAATGCTTTGGAATGTACTGTAAAATACATCAATTAGACACCAAAAGTTGCCTTTATCACAAAAATCATGATTTTATACTAGAGTGAGACTAACACTTTATAAAATCACAGTTCCTCATGAGGACTCCTTAATGGTTCCTCTTCCATGACCAAATTCCCATCATCCGCCATTTTAATCAGTTTCTCCTTCTCAAGGTCATCAGGAGTTTTTACAGGTGAAGGTCGGTCATCATGTGACCTTTGACCTCCATCCTGTGTACTATCTGAATCCTCAACTACAAGCTCCTCTGGATTCTTTTCCGTGGATAACTCTATATTTTCTTCTTCTTTCTCATCAAATAAAATAACATCCCCTGTTAAATTGGAGATTATCTTGCCAAACAGTTTGGGAAAATCTTCTATGGCTGCGTTCATGTCCATTGAAAATAATTCATCCCAGGTTAACACTTTGTTACCATCCTTATCAATCTTAGAGAAGACCTGAAATATGATATTTCATATGATTATGTTATAAGCATGATCTATACTAGAACATTTCTATTTAAAAATGCATTATGTATGGTTTATTTTAAAAGCAAACAAGAGGCCCATGGGCCATACTGCTCACCTGACCACATTGGCTAGAAAAAGCACGAAAAATCTAAACTACATGTGGATGCTTCCATATCAATAACAATGGATTTGGTGTTCTTAAACAAAAGATTTTGTCCTATACAATCCTTTTAAAAATTTGAGCCCTAATAAGGTCAACCCTTAGCTCCCAATGGTCATGATATGAACAAACTGGAATCTTCACCACCCAAGGGTGATTCCATATCACTATGACTAATTGTGGCTTTGTTGTTCTGGAAAAGATTTTCCCTTTGTATTCATATATATTTATAAAACTCTGCTCAAATCAGCCCGAGGGGTCCTGATTGGGACAAGTTTGATTATTTCCTATCTATCTAGCACAAGATTTGATTGGTTGGCAAACTGGGTGTAAATTTCCGTAAAACCATTAACTTAAACTGGGGTTAAATAACATGATGTTACAAAGCAGTTTTCCTATGATAAATAGCAAATACCATGATGTCACGATGCATTGTAGTATGTAGAAACCCTTATCAATAGGTTGAGACACAGTTGATTGGACTTGTATTATCAGAGAATTTTTGGATGTACATAAGGAAATAAATTTATTATCCTGGTTCAATCAAGGGTGTATGGGGATTTTCACCATTCAGCCTTTGGATGTATAGAATAAAACCCCAGGTAAATCCCTGTGCACCCTTTATTGAACCTGGATAACGATAATAATCTACAGTACCTTTGAATACTTCCTTATAAATAAGTCCGATAATTGCTTTTCTGCTCTAAAGAAGATTTATAAAAATTTTCTCAAATATATTTCTATGTAAAAACTTGATCGTCCCTTGTGGCCCAACCCTAACCATGGGGGGTCATGATTTGATAAAACTTGAATCAACTCTACCTGAGGATACTTCCATTCACGTATAAATATGAATGATTAATCATGATACATGTATTGTTATATTTGAAAATAAATTTTTTTAAAGAATTTACCTATATATTGTCCATTGCGGCCCAGCCCTACCTCGTGGGGTCATTATTAGAACAAATTTGAATATACACTTTATGTGGATATTTCCATATAAATATGACCAATTATGTCTTTGCTGTTCTGGAGAAGGAGATTTTAAAGGATTTTACCTCAATGCATATTCCTATGTAAAACTTGCTCATCCATTGAGGTCCCACCCTACCTCTGGGGGTCATGATTTGAATAAACTTATATCTACTCTACCATATGCTTCCATTTAAATATGACCAATCATGGCCATGTTGTTCTTGAGGAGAAGAATTTCAAAGATTTTTCCTTTGTGTTCCCATGAAAAAAATTTATTGTCCATTGTAGCCCCACCCTAATCCTGGGTGTCATGAGTTGAAGAAACTCAAATTTACACTATCTGAGGATGACTTCACATGAATTTCATCTTTCCTGGCCCAGTGGTTCTTGAGAAGAAGATTTCAAAAGATACCATTAATTTTTCACTAATTTGTAATTATCTCCCCTTGGAAGAGGGTGTGGCCCTTCATTTGAACAAACTTGAATCTTGAACAAACTTTAATCCCTTCAACCAAGGATACTTGCAAGTTTGGTTGAAATTGGCCCAGTAGTTTGTTTCTTATACACTTATATACATCTGCTATTGTTGAAGTAAGACATTTCACTGGCACAATTTATACCTGATTTAGACTTTCCACATCCTCCTGTGTAATGGAGGGGATTTCCCGCTGCATGTATTCACTGAAAGACCTCTTGTAGAAACTCATGACATCCTCAAACAGTTCCAAGAAAAGCATTCTGTGGGGGAAAACAATACAAAGTTCTAATCCTTAATCATTCATTTCTTTCCAAAAGGCATACTGAGTGACTAAGGTGAGCAAAAAAAAAAAAAAAAACGTTAAACACACTCATTGTGAACATGCATACAATACATTGATGTGTATAGCAAATTAAATTTTATTCTCTGTGGGTTTTAAACATATTATGAGGCTAAGGGATATAAATTATGAATTTTGTTTACAACGAAACAAAATCGCCCATCCTTGGCACTCAATTATAAGCATAAATGTATTTTACTGTATTTGCCAAAATAAATGGCAAATCATATGTACAAAATCTTTTTCAATTTGGAATAAATAAAATAAAATCAAAGCTTAAATGAACTTTAATCTGAGAAAATCTAATTATGATTGGAATGGCTTTTATGTACTTGAATTCTGCATCAGGATCTGCCTGTTTTAGAGTAGGTAGGGGGATACTAGAATTCTGGTATGGATCCAACCCCTCACACTCTGGATCCGAGCTGTTAAACCAAGGTAAATGATGGAACCAAAAATTGACAGCCAAGTTTCTTCCCGGTTTGGAATCAACATAATGTAACCATCTGCAAGGGAACACAGATTAAGGTTCATCGACCCTCTAATAAGAGAGATAACTCTCATTGGTTAAAATGACTCATTCCTTGTTAAAATTGTCAAGTTTTATAAAAATTCATTTCTGTCAAATTTTGCCATGCAAGGGTATATTAATCATAAATTAAACCTGGAGTAGATCCCACATACCCTTGATTGAACCTTGATAACTAATAATCTACTCATTTGTATTGTATAAATAATTAATCTACTCACTTTTATGGTATAAATAAACAATCTACTCACTTTTATGATGTTTATGGTATAAATAAACAATTTACTCACTTGTATGGTATAAATAAACAATCTACTCACTTGTATGGTATAAATAGACAATCTACTCACTTGTATGGTATAAATAAATAATCTACTCACTTGTATGGTATAAATAAACAATCTACTCACTTGTATGGTATAAATAAACAATCTACTCACTTGTATGGTATAAATAGACAATCTACTCACTTGTATGGTATAAATAAATAATCTACTCACTTGTATGGTATAAATAAACAATCTACTCACTTGTATGGTATAAATAAACAATCTACTCACTTGCATGGTATAAATAAATAATCTCCTCACTTGTATGGTATAAATAAACAATCTACTCACTTGTATGGTATAAATAAACAATTTACTCACTTGTATGGTATAAATAAACAATCTACTCACTTGTATGGTATAAATAGACAATCTACTCACTTGTATGGTATAAATAAACAATTTACTCACTTTTATGGTATAAATAAACAATCTCCTCACTTGTATGGTATAAATAAACAATCTCCTCACTTGTATGGTATAAATAAATAATCTCCTCACTTGTATGGGATAAATAAACAATCTCCTCACTTGTATGGGATAGATAAACAATTTACTCACTTGTATGGGATAAATAAACAATTTACTCACTTGTATGGTATAAACAGACAATCTACTCACTTGTATGGTATAAATAAACAATCTACTCACTTGTATGGTATAAATAAACAATCTACTCACTTGTATGGTATAAATAAACAATCTACTCACTTGTATGGTATAAACAGACAATCTACTCACGTATAAACAGACAATCTACTCACTTGTATGGTATAAACAGACAATCTACTCACTTGTATGGTATAAATAAACAATCTACTCACTTGTATGGTATAAATAAACAATCTACTCACTTGTATGGTATAAATAAACAATCTACTCACTTGTATGGTATAAATAAATAATCTACTCACTTGTATGGTATAAATAAACAATTTACTCACTTGTATGGTATAAATAAACAATCTACTCACTTGTATGGTATAAACAGACAATCTACTCACTTGCATGGTATAAACAGACAATCTACTCACTTGTATTGTATAAACAGACAATCTACTCACTTGTATGGTATAAATAGACAATCTACTCATTTGCATGGTATAAATAGACAATCTACTCACTTGTATGGTATAAATAAACAATCTACTCACTTGTATGGTATAAATAGACAATCCCCTTTGTTGATTGTGATCCTGTTGTATGGGATATTCTGTAGCTGTGGAAACTTAAACATATCCACTGACTCTACATCCACATTGCTGAAAGCTCCTTTATTGTTCCACCCATGCTCCATAACCAAGTGGCGATACTTCTGTTGAAATGACATATGGAAATGAAAAAGTACTCAGACTTAAAGGTTTGTTTAAACAATACAAATTGGGAGCAGAGGTTTTGTGGACCTCCAAAAATATCAAAGGTGGGATCAGGTGCCATGGAGGAGAGAGCACCCTATGGTGACCAGTCACACTTTTCAAGCTCCTTGTCATGATCAGATAAATGGAAAAATCCTTTAGAAATTTCAGTGTGCCAAAACAATGGTCTTATAATTTGGTATAAAAAATGTCAGTCATCGTTTGAGTTAATGATAGATTGCATAATTTGCTGAAACTAAATTCAAAAGGGTAAAAAGCAAACAAGTACTTGATCAGTGTTTATATTTCCACATTTTGCTGTAATATAAAAATTGATTTGCTGGAAACAAATAGGTCCACTACATATTTTTAAGCCATACCTTATCAATAAGGATGAGTTCTTTCTTTCCATCAAAGAGACAGTTGATGTTGTCCAGAGCGTCGTGATGGAGGTGGGACTTGGTGCCACCACTACTGAACCACATAATCACCATCTGGAGGAAATTCTGGAAGCCCCCACACTGGAGGCTCAGGGGCAGGTTAAAGTCCTCTTCATTAATTAAAATAAAAAAATAAAATTTATTAATGAACAGAAATACTTGTCTTCTCTAATAATGAATAAGTCCTTGAACATAGGAAGAGCTTTATTTATCAGTAAATATATTGCAGGCTGCAACGAATGGAGACCCTATGAGTTCAGTGTTTTTCGAGACCCAAAATCTGAGCTTTATAAAGACATTTTCCATAGTTTTTTTTCCAAATTAAACAATATAATACAACAGACATAAAATTTCGTAACTGATACCTAGTAACCAATTAACAATACATGTACAGCCATGAAATTATGATTTGTAAAAGGTCAACCTACTTTTCATTTCTGGTGTGAGATCAAACACTTGGTAGATATTTGCAGTTTGATAAACATGAAGGAATTTGGACATGGTCATGTTTTTCACCAGCCCAGACATCCGGTTCTCCTTTTTACCTACTTCAACCTCCACATCGATATTTCCAAAATTCTCCCTGAAAACCAAAGCATATAATGTCATATTTATAAAAAGAATTTTTAAAAAAAAAAGTCTAGAGCTTTCTGACTGCAGGACTTTGATATTTTGAAATAGAGTTTAAAAAAAAACAGATGAAGAAATAAAGACCTTTTTGACCTTGTGTCTTTGAACAATAGGAGTAATTGCCTCAAAATTTAATTGTGTTTTTCTGTCAATCTATTTTATTATACCCCCGCTTGAAAAGCGGGAGGGTATATAGTAATCGGTATGTCCGTCTGTCTGTTACGCTTTGGGGTACCGATCTCTTATTCGCAACTCCTCTTATACCACTGAGTGAAATTCAATGAAACATTCACAGAATCTTTACTACATATTGCCATTGTGCACCTCCTATTTTACTTTTTAATCCGACACATATTTTGGGTTTTCCAGCCACAATGATACATGGACTTTGCCATTATAACCATATGGGAGGTGGGGGTATCATTTAGTGAGCTCATTGCTCACAATACCTCTAGTTACATTTAAGTCTGCAGGTTGAAGATTGCTCATATATGTAAGAAATATATTATCCTTTACCCTGTCACTATTAAAAGATTACTTAAAATATGCTGATTTTAGTGAAACAAGAAACCTGTAGGCTTCTGTCTCATTTGTGTTACAATTGCTCTCGGCTTCAGTGAGCTTAAAACTGCCAAGAATAATTTATGATAACTGTACCTGAGATATTTATCTGTCCACAGTCGGTAGGCTGGAATATTGTCCCTCTCCAAGACTTTCCTCATCACCAATGGCTGACTCTTCTTAACAAACTCCTCATGAAAAACCCAGGGGGAGGGGAACTTCCCAGTGACTGGGATCCCACCAATGGGATCCATATGACTTCCCAGGGGCTTCAAGTGTCCAGGTGGGGTGGCTATAACTTCACCAAGTGCCACTGCCATCAGCACTAAAGCTAGAATATTGCTCTTCATCATGCAACTATCTCACGTAACTTAAATTCCTATTGAAAAAGAAGAGAATTTAAAAAAAAATGTTGAACTGTTCTCCATCATGCCGAAGGAGGGAATTTTAAATTGCACAAAATGTATTTAATTAAAAAAAGAAATGTCAGTCCTGTCAACAATAAAGCTGCAAAAAAATATTGCCTACACCCAAGAATTGGGTTATCTGAATTCCGAAATAATGTAACAAAGTTCAAAAGTTAATATATATTTTTAATTTTAATTTTTTTTTTAAAGTGGTTGATACATAATGTACCTGACTGTTTACTGCTGTCTAGCTACATTATGTCATAAATGTGCAGTATCACGTACTATTTATTAAATGGTTACTTATTTATAATGAGTTATTTTTCTGATAACTAATGTTTGAGTTATGCCCCTGACTGATCACCGCAGTTGCACATTAGAATCACCTTAGGTTATGACACAGCTGGTAGTTCATCAATCTGATATTTGTTTATAATGCAAAGCATAAAATGGAAAAGAGTATTTCAACTCCTATTTTTCATTTCAGCTGGAACATGTGGAACATATGGATGAAAGAGGGAACAAGTAAATGCTTCCTAAAATGTTTCTATATATTACCTGCATGAAGATTGCCCTTAAGATCCGTAATTGTGTAACAAACAGATGCTAGGTGGGGTTGTTTTTTTTATTAATCAACTTCATTAAAATTCTTGTCTTTATGTTTCATTAATTAACAGACTTGACATACTGAACAGGATGTCTCGAATTAATAATCACAGAAATAGATCTCATATCCTTCTTAAAGTTCCTTCTCAACTGGTACAAATATTTACCATCTTTTACAACATACGATCATTCTATATAGTTGTATAGGAAATAATATGAAAATTCAAATCCTTAATTATAATTCTCTATATATTAATTTATTACTTTAACAGATGTTAAATTATTTCTGGTTTGATTTTTCTTAATCAGCATGATCAGTAAATTAAAAAAAAAAGAAAGAAAGAAAAAAAAATTTACATCATCATTTAGAATTAACATATAATTCATTTTTGTGTGGAACATATAAACAAGAGAATTAACATATTCAGTTGAAAAACAATTTCTATGTTTTGATTGACCTGTATGCTGGGAATCATATATTAAGTCAAAAGTTATTTCTCTCAGAAAATGACACCAACATACATGTTTTCATTTGCTTCTTTTATACAAGATGTGTGCCACATTCATTTTTTTAAATTAAAAAATAACATTTATATATGGAGGTTTTACCAAGGGATGGTTGGGGTGTACTAGCTGCAATATTCATTTTGCACCTGTACTAAACAGGTAAATAAAAATACCATATAAAGAAATCAACATTGAAACTTTAACGCTTTCCATATAAAAATTAAATACAATCGTGTTAAATACAACATACCACACGAGTTCAAGATCCACTCCTCAATGCCTCTTCAGTCCGTTTTCGTTGTGACGATACACCTATTTTCACTTCCTTTTCCAATGCTGTTCGTATCTCATTCATCTGGTTTTCAATAAATCATGCGATTTAATAAGCATACCTTTGTTAATAACTATCTTTACGATTGTAACAGCTGTAGAAAGTGGCAATTCGGTTTTAAAATCCGCGTAAATACCGATTAATCACACTTGCCGACTTGTTTACATTTAGTCTCGGGCTTTTTCGATATCGAAAGTAGAAAAGTTCCGAGACGGAAGATGCACGGAAAGTCGAAATACGAATTGCATTGTGGGGGCAACCACGTGACCAAAATAACAGCGAAGCGAGATAATGAGACAACCATATAGCACCATGAGTCCCAAAAGGTATAGAAATTGCAGTTTTCAAATCAAATAGCACCAATTTCTTACAATTTTTCCAGCAAATATTGACAGCAGTTTAGTTTGTATGTTTAATAGGTAAAATGTTCAGGACTGCTTGGTGACAAAATTGAAATAGGGTGTATAGTGGCAGGAAGTTGATGCATAAAGATGCATGCAAGTTCTGCTTTTTTGATTGCACCGGATGCTGATAATCGTGCATGCTTAGTCTGACTGTCTCCGCATTAACCCTTGCACAGTATTATCGCTTAAAGTTTTGAGAAATTTTGCATATTATACTTGCATATAGGCGTACGTATTCCAAAAATGTTGACGCAGCCTGGGTAAAATTGAGTGTGGCGGCCAGCCGGGTTTGATCGCAGATGGCCAGATTTTAAGCTCAGTTGGTACAGCCAGACCGGAGATTCAGGGGGCCTATGTTTGAATCCTGGTCTGGTCCGCTGCATTTTCTTCTCTCCCGTTACAAAAGCAACACTGATTTTGTACAGTACATTATATATATAGCTGTCAGGGCATGAAATATTGCCCAACGTGGAACCAAGGGCAATATTAATGTCCCAAGGAGGCTAACACAATCCATGTTGCCTGAAAACATAGTAAAAAATGTTTTGTGATATAATGAAACAGCTAGAACAATTAAACTAATGAAATTAATTATTATTTATATCTGCATTTCTAATAACTCTTTGAAAGTTACGGTAGGTATAATTGGATTTTTGATCATTCTTCTGGAATGGTAATGTAAATGTCAGGAGCTAAACTAAGACTACATGTTGATCTTGACGTGTGTCTGCCTTTTATGTCTGACGTCAGTGGGCGGGGACTACTGAAATTTACATGGGAGGCCTCATGTATTTTAAATCTATTAGACAACATTTTTAAAATCTAAATTTACAATTTTATTTCACAATGAAATGGAAATATATACATATTATTATAACAGTAACTTGATCTGACGGGTCGTATCACGTCGAGTCTGCCGGATCATTTAATGAGACACGAAGCGTCGAGTTTGATCTGATGATCTACTGAAATTGTTATAATGATAAATTTATTATATACCCCCTTTTAACTAGAAAAATATAGCAAAAGAAAACTTAGTATAACATTTATCCATAAAACAAAGCATAATAACAAGGGATTTTTTAACGTGCAAGAAAAATGATGTCATGTTTTTGCATACTATGTCATCAGTTTCAGAGAGTGGTGATATGGATAACAGTGTGGTGATCCGGAAAGTCACACGACGTCACGTGATTGTTTGTAAAATTGAGTGATCCACGTTAGGTATATAATAAAAGGAATCACTGTCTAGTTTGTTGGGTATGCCAGGGACATCAACAATAATTGGAAACATGGGATAATTATATGCATATTCCTTGTTTCAAACTATGGTTTGGCCCATCATGCAAATTATCCCATGTAACGTTTCCAACTATCATTGATGCCCAGGCATACCCAACAATCTAGACAGTGATTCCTTATTATATTTGATTGCACATAGACTAGCATATCTTTATGGTACTTATTATTATAATGTCACGAATTAAATAGCAACCCAAATTAAAATGTATAAGCTGGGATGGGGCAGTTGCCGCTTATAAACCACAAAGCGGTTTATAAAAGGCGTAAACTGCTCCAACCCAGGATATAGCTGTATAATTTGGGTTGCTATTTAATTCATTCCTTATAATTTAATTTTTAATCATTATAAGTATATAAAACAAGACAATTTCTCCCTTAAAAAGCCTTCAAATTGTTCATATTTTAAACGTAACGTCAAGCAGATTGATATATTTTTGATGAATTAGTCATTGTGAGGTATGCGAACCAGATTATACAATTTAGATTAATTTTTTATCCAATCAAATGACACTTAAATTTACAACCAAAATTAAATTATGAAATGAAAACAAAATAACTTTATATTTTTCTTTGGAGCTTAAAATATGTTGACTTCTAAAGAGAATAAAGGGACTATTCTTCCCCCAAACAAGGGAGGATTTATGAATTGGGATACAGCAGAAAATGGACATGTTCATTGTACCATTTAATAACAAATGATAATCTACATTATTATGATACATCAAGGAAAATTGCTGCCTGGTATACATTATTTTAAATTCATGACATGATGTCGATGGGAATACGCTAGTGGTCCAAACTGTATAGAAACAATTTGGAAATTATATCCCAGCATTCTTTAAGAGCCCGCTTCCACATCATGACCCTTGGTTTGATGTACTAGTAACTCTTATTACGGATCTTTAGAGTAAGATTTTTTTTTTCAAAATGCATGTGTATATTATGAGCATGTTCATGATGTACTTGCTTAATTTTTTTCTGTTGAACATTTACTTTAGGCTTTAGCAGACTTAAAATACACTTACAAACATGTGGATATAATGTTATGTTTTACAGATTATCAAAAGAACATGGGCAAGATGACTCTTCGATGCAGAGTTGAACCTTATACACAACACTGTCAAATGTCAATATGGTAAGAAGTAAGACAACTCATGTCATGTTAAGGGTTCTGGGGGTTGTGGCCATTTTTAGACTATATTGATCTCCTTTAGGAGAAGAGCTCCATATATAGATATACAAAAATGATCAAATTTTAAAGCTAAAAATGTATGAAATTTTTCTTTGCCAAATGATAGTTGACAGATTAATATATCATATCTAAAAATTTAAGTAATATCTGATGGCTAATTTGTTGACCCCTTAGCTTCCTTAAGTATGATGTGATTATTATTTCATGGAATGCTTTGAAGAATTTAAAATTAATAAAAGATTAATGTATAGAAGCTTATAGAGCATAACATTTTGGAATATCATTTTCATTACTCTTTCATAACTTTGATTGCATGAATTGTTTACAATATGCACTATAGCAATGGCAATCAATTACAGAACTTTTAATTGTTAACAGCAAGACATTCCTTGGTCTGTTTTCTGTGATGTTTGCATTTAATTTCATTTTTATTGCAGTCCTCAAACCAGTTAGAAGAAGCTTCACTTTTGCTTGAACTTCGGACTGAAAAGATTTTACCTGCTCAAGATAAAATGGTATGATTTCAAAGCCTATATACTTAAATGATTCTTAACTGTTCAAATCATGGTCTCTGGGGGGTTAGGGTGGGCACAAAAGGGAATCAAGTTTTACATTGAAATATAGGATAAAAAATCTTCTCATAAACCACTGGGCTAGAAAAGCTGAATTTTATATGGAAGCATCCTGGGGTAGCAGAGATTCTAAATTCTTCAAATCATGACTCCCTGAGGTAAATGGTTTAGCCAAAATAGGGATTCTAAGTTTTACATTGAAACATACAGGAAAAATATTTTAAAAATTTATCAAGAACCTCTGGACCAGAAAAAACTTATGTGGAAGCGTTCTGGCATATTGCAGATTCTAAATTGTTTAAATACATGTAATGGGTCACAGGGGTTGGACAGAACCACATATAGGTATTGCAAGGGGGAAATCTGGTAAAGAACAGCAGCACCAAAATTACTCAGTTGAGCCTTGTGGCCCATGGGACTCTTGGTACTGTATATATGTAATGGTCACAAGCATTGGCACATTTGTACTGGTATTAGTTTTTCAAATTCTTTAAAACATTCATTTTTAATTTGATTAATGAGCTCTTTTAACTATGTCTGCATAAAAAATGCAATACATTTTAGTTATTTAAAAAAACAGGTTGTGCCTGAAGACTTGAATGGATCACTAGAGCCCCCCACCCCACGCCGACACATATATAAGCAGCGTAATCCTGGTGACTATTAATGAAATGAATCTATAAATAATGATTTTATTTTAGATTGAAAGGGAGGAGAAGATTTTGGATCCAGAACACTCACTCAAAGAGAATTGTATCATGGAGGAAAAACCAAGTAACCATGGAGATAGTCCCACTGAAAACAGCACAGTAGCAGATTTTCCAATGGACAACCCCCTGGAAAAAGCACAAGATTTACTAGTGGACACTTCACAACAGTCAGACAAGTCAGAATCATTAGAGGTCAATAAAGCAAGTGGACATGGGGTGCAGACAGATACAGCTATGGAGATTGACTCAGAAGATGGCAACAGTGTGAGTCAGTGTGAAGATCCAAATTTACGTCATGAGAAAACGGGCAGTGGTGACAGTAATGCTGATGGAAATATGGAGACCATGCAGATTTCTCAGCCAGAAACTGAAAGAAAAATACAGACAGAAGATTTGTCTTCTGCAGAACAGAGCACAGAAAGTACTGCAGAAACAGCAGCTGAACAGAGAGTTGAGGATGTGGAAAATACAACATTAGGAGTCTCCTATGCTTCCGAATTAGATACACAACAAGAAGAAAATAGTCAGTCTTTACATTCAGCTGAAACTGGCTCTCAAGAAAATTCTCTTGACGCTGAAACAAATGCGTACAAAAGTTCACCAGGGGTCATTTCATTTGATAATGTGGATGTAAATGAGGAATCACCCACTTCTACAAAATCTTCAGCAGACAGTCAGGAAAATAAAGACACTGTGAATGTGAGTGAATTGCCAGAAGAGATGGAAATGGATAAAGTTTCCCCAGGAGATAAACAAGAAATTGATAAAAGCTCTCCAGAATGTCATGGCAGCAATGAAGTGTTAGCAGAGAGTGGAAACAAAGATATTGGAAGAAGTGTCATGTCTGAAGCATTTTGTGAGCTGGAAAGTCAGAATGATAGCATTGATGAGGATAGTGATGGAAGGCTACTTATAGACACAGAGGCTGAATCAGAAAATGATGAGGATTTGTCAAGGAGAAAGAAGAATAACCACCATACAGAATCCCCACTGGCAGCTGAAAAGTTGTCGGGTCAACAGCCCAGAGAGTCTCCATTAACCACAGAAAAGGAACCAAGTCAGCTCAATGAGGCAGCAGATGTACCTGAACGAAGGGCAACTGAAAAAAGTAATGATGTGATTTCAGATAAAGATGTGATGTTAGAAAGTGTGAATGAAAATGAAAGTGAAAGTAGATTTGAACTAGTAAGAAGGGAGAGAGGTCCAGTGGAGGGGGGTCAGACCAGTTTGGAGGATTTAAGCGATGTTGGTCCCAAGATCACCACCACAAAGACTCCACTGGGGGCTGTCATTAAAGTGGAGCAGACAGATGCAGGATATGGTGATTCAGGGACTGGGGACATTCTTGATATACTTCACAAACCTGAGAAAAGTACTACCGGTGAAGGTCAGAAGCGAAAACACAGTGATCTGAATGATAAAGATGGGGCACAGACACTTTCTTTTGATCCATCAGAAGTAGCAAAGAGAGTCAAAAAAGAACCAGTGGATATTTTTGACTCTTCCAAATCTAACTGTTCGTTGAATATTTCTCCTATGACTTCCAAAGGTTTTGTTCCACTTCATTCATCCAGGCCCCAGGAATCTGGGACAGACTTTGTCTCCAGTAGTCTGCTACACCTTAGTAAACAGGTGGACAACATAACATCACAGCAAAATATACAGAAGGCCCCAACACTAGGTACTGTTGGTCCAGCCACACTAGCTCAACAGCAACCCTCCATGTTGCGGCATCAGCTGAACTCGAGTGTAAGATATCCACCAACAGTTTCTCGTATATCTATTCCTTTTGTCAGGACCCAGGGGCCAGTTGTGCCAGCAAGTACACAGTCGGATATGAGAATAAGGTCCGTAGTTCCTAATCCACCCTCCTCCACTACTGCCACCAATGCCATAATCACATCCATTGTGGGGAGTTCAGGAAAAACTCAACCTGTGCTGATCACCACACAGACGAGAGCAGTCCCTTCTCTGATGAACTCCACATCCACATTTAGATACAAAATTGTTCCCAATGCCAGTGGAGGACAAAGTCTGGTGTCTGCATCCACTGTTCCTAGTGTGTCCAAACCATCCACCATTGTTCCTAGTGTGTCTAAACCAGCCACCAGTGCTCCATCCACCAGTAGTAGTTCATCCGCTTCATCACTGGAAGCTATGTCTTCATCTTCCATCAACATTGACACGGTTGGCATGCAGACCATTACAGAACTGATCGCGAGGAAAAACCCACTGCCAAACTACAAGGTTACCCCTCCTCCACCTAACTTGAAAGTCAATACATCCGTGTTCACTTGCTATGAGTGTGGAGACACTTTCCGCTTTTCCACAAGTCTGGAGACACATCGTGGGAGGTGCAGCATGAAAATAACATACAAATGTGAGGAATGCAAAGCTATGAAAATATTTTTCAACAAGTGTCAGTTTCTTAGCCATTTGAGGGGCCATTTGAACATAGAGAAAACTCAAGCTGTACCAATTCACATCAAATCGGATTCAATTTCAATCGAACCTCTGCCTAAATCTCACCAGCAAGTCTTCTTCCAAAAGTTCTCTGTTTCCACAAAGACTATTACCCAGAAGGTCAGTAAGAGGTGTGCAGAATGTGGAATCAGATGCAGTCAAGCGGAATTCGAAAAACACTTCTCAGGAGAGAAAAAAATGGACGGAGGGTCCGTGATAGGAAAGTGGAAATGTGTTCACTGCAAGCTGCACTTCCCTTCCATCTGTTCACATAGAGCTCATGCCAGGCTACACAAGGAGGAGGAGCTAGATCGGAAGTTCACCTGCCCTGAGTGTGGAATCGACCTGGCAGGGCTCATGATTGGAACAGAGCAGTTTGATGACTTCAAGGAAAAGCTCAGTTATCATCTCATCAATGTCTGCTTTCATCTGGATAAAGTGGATATCATAGTTTGTTCAAAATGCAATGCAGAGTTTTCCAGCATCGAAGACTTTAAATTTCACTATTTTCAAAAACTGGAGCAATATTTCAAGTGTAATGTTTGCCCCATGGCCTTCAGGCAGCAAGATTCCTTCAGCAAACACTTAGCCACACAACACAGTGACATTCAGAGTGGTTATCGAAATAATAAAAAGATTGATGTCTTTAAAGTGATATACAGATGCCATGTGTGTGGCAGTTTAATCGATGACCGATTTGTACTGGACAACCATCTGCAACAACATGCCATAGCTTCAAAATCAGTCTACCGGTGCAAAGAATGCCCCAGAATTTTTCCAAACGGAGGAGAACTTGCAAGCCATTTCAATGAGGATCATCCAGAAAAGATGAGATCAAAGATGTGTAAAAAATGTGACATTACATTTGATGCCTGGAAAGATTTGCTAAATCATACATTAAAAGGTGTGCATGTCAACCCAACTATAAAAGCGGCATTCCAGTATTGTGGAACCTGTGGCTTTTTCTATGATCCCACAGAATCGGATGGTGGGCATGCTTGCATGAGTCAGAAAACGGGAAGAATGATGGTCAACAAACTCCAAAACCTGTGCAGAATCTGCAACGAGCGGAAATTTTACAGCACTGAAGGGTTGCGGAATCATATTTTGCATACTCACCAAGAAAGGGGGTATCTAGTCTGCAAGTATTGCCAGATAGGTGGGTTCTCTTCTGTGGCGGAGATGAAAATGCATGAGAGTGTCTGTACTAATGGGAAAACTCTGGTCAAACCAAATATTCTGAGACAGAAGAAAAGCCCTGCCTCCTCCTCTTTACTTAATAAAAGAACTGAGAAAGAAGTGAAGGTCTCAAAGCAGCCACAGTCTCTGGTAAATATGCAGCCATCCTTTTCATGCCCCGACTGTGATGAGAAATTTCAATCCAAGACAGATCTTGATAATCATCGAAAAGATGAACATAGCAATCTATTCCCGTGTCATCTGTGCGGTTTGACTTATGAATCACAGCAGAGCCTACGCAAGCATCTGCGGGTGTCCCACGAAGGGAAGACTCATGTGTATCCCTGTGTGATTTGTAGGAAGAGGGGTATAAGAAGGATCTTCACCAATGTCTTGGTTCTGGAGAAACACTTGGCTTCCAAACACAGAATGAGTAAAAACCAGATGAGCTCAAGCATTGTGAACGAGATTGACGAAGAAAGCGAAATCCTGGATCCACCACCTAAATCCGTCAAATCCTCCTCAGAATCCACAGAGTTAATCACAGAAATGGACTCCCCAGTCAAACGTCTACATGTCCAGGGGGATCAAGTTTTCAACTGCGCAAAATGTAGATTTGGATGCGAGAACAGAGAAGAGTTCCTCAAGCATCTTCAGATCCACAAGATAGATAACTCTGTCCAGTGTCTGGAGTGTGGCCTCTGCTTTGCCATCATCCCCTCCCTGAGGAAGCACCTGTTTATGGTCCATAAGGTGAAGGACTTTGAGGACTACTGCCAGAAGGAAGGCATCAGCGTAAAGGAAGAGGAGTTTGTGTGTGAGGAGCCAGAGGAGTCCTCCTACACCAGCCCTGCCGAGGAGTCGGACCTCGAGGAGGAAGAACGGGACCCATTGGAATGCCGAGTCTGTTACAAGACGTTCGAGGACGAAAATAAATTACGCACACACATGAGGAGTCATGGGATGGCGTTCATCAGGAACAAGCGGAAGGAAAGAGCCATGCAAAAGTCCAGGCAGTCGGCATCCACTTCCAGCGTGAAAAGTGAAAATACAAGTGAAAACAGTAATGCATCATTATCTGATGCTAAATAAGCATCTGCTGTTATTTGTTCCTTCATGAATATTTCTCACACAGTGAGAAAAATTGGAAAATTTTATGTAGCATATGTGCATAACTACATAGTTGCCATTTATTATATTATATATAATAGAAAATAGTCTATTGACTACAGTGTACTAGATTATATAATAAGTAATTTATACCAGGGTATTACAGATTTGGTAAAAATAAAAGTTTCAAGATTTTATCGAATTGTGTACAGCTATAATTTTGTAATCAGTCAACTGGTGCCCATCTGCTTGATTCTAGGAGAGAAGTGATATTTTTAAAAAAATATATCTGCAAATATCTGATAGTTCCAAATCTTGTATTCTTGAATTGCTTTATATGTATCATGCATATACATGTATCTTTCTGTGTCTGTTTACAAACAAAATTAGGAACAGAAATATTGTGCAATGTAATTTCTATGCAACATTTTTGAAATTATCTATTTTATATACTTGTGAACATACAATGTACATCGCTTGTAAAAGGGCAGTTACAACTGAAGCTTTAAAACGGTTTGCCTGTTAATTGTTATGATTGTTTTTTACTTAAAATTTTTGTGTTCATTGTCGACTGTTTTGGTTCGATTTGTTAAAAATAACTTCAGGATATGATTTGTTTTAAGGACATTGAATATGCAAGATATCCCTTATATTTAATGTGTAGTTCTTTTGTCTCTCAAGTCATGTACAGTTAAGAACCTTGATATCTCAAATATATGAATTCCAGCCTATATGTACAGTTCTCAGATATATTTCCAGATTTCCTTAACCCCCTTCTTGATTGAGATATCAAGGTTTGACTCTACATGTTAAGTCTGCTTTATCATACTTGCATGTTTAATACACAAAAATGTGCATTTTATGTGTGAAAAATTCATGTAACTATACATATAAAATCACCCTCTCTCATATTGTTATATGCAAATTGTACTTAAAATATTCTTACTGATTTTTTTATTTTTGCAATAAATCATATTGTAAATTACTCTAAATGTATCGAATTTTCTATCAGATAACTTGCATATTTTGTAACCCACTTTTTTCATATTTAATTGAATCTATAGTTGGGAAGTAAATCTATAGTTGGGAAATTATGGTAGCATACTGTAAATGTATTATATTTAGTTTAGAAATTGGTTTTTGAACAATTAAGTTAGCAAAAGTCTGATTTAGCGCATTTTTCAATGTTCTTATTTATGTCTCTGTGTGCAAGACATTTAACGTTTTACTCGAATTATAGTGAAAGTTTCTCTACCCAAAAGCGCTAAATAGAATACACAGCCAAATATAATACATTTACAGTATTCTGCCACCACTTGTCAGATTTTTTATGTTTACTTGTCAGATACAATCTTCATTTTCTCGAGCCTCATGGGACTGAGAAAAAACTTTTGAGATATCCAAGGAATCAAAATATCAAGGGTAAAATACTTAAAGAGTATATGGTTGGGACTTCCACATAACTTCGTCAAATCTATGGTATTCAGGATATCGGATTTTGAGATACCAAAGTTCAACTGTATATATTTCAACTTGTCAGATATTTATGCCACCTTGTCAGATAAAAGTCTTATATTCACAACAGAAACTCGATCAGTATCAGTTTATGCCATCAGTTACATATTTATCTAGCAAGTTGACATAAGTAACTGCCAAGTTAATATCAATTCTGACAAGTCAATATAATTATCTGTCAAGTTGATATAAGGTGAAAAGCTGACTTGATAGAAAATGATGTCGACCTAAATGTTGGCAACTTGTCAGAATATCTTGTTATAAGGGCATAATAGCCACTGACAATTCTACTTGTCATCATAATACACAACAGAGAGATTTTCAAAATATACTGACAAGACGACAAAATTGAACTCAACATCATTTTCTTACAAGTTGCTCAATGGCCCGAGTGCCAAGTATAGGACAAAATTTGCAGCTCTCCACCGGCATGTGGTGGCAACTCCATATGAGTGAAAAATTCTTTAAAAGGACGTTGATAAACAAACATTCCTTAAGAATAGTTATTTTGCTCGTTACGTAGATATAAAACAAAGAAAAAATAGAGACCATTACCTCAAGGTTAAATTTGCTGAAGATTCCAATCTCTGCTGGTCAGAAAGAAACATACGAGTTTTTTTTCCTGAAATCATATGATTTCCTTGTTGACAAACCAACTGCCTTATCAATCATCATAATACTAATAATCCGATTCCATTTTTGCAGATACAGTGTTGGAATGTTTTGTGCAATTTGTGATTTTGACCGAAATTATGTGCCCTAACATTTGAAATACTGATCAGTACCCCTCTTGAATTGAAACATTTTGTGTGAAACATAGGACCAAATATGATGAATCATAGTCATTGCATTCTGCAACATTTTTTTTTTCTGCTTTTCATTAATTATTCTCACCTTGAAGGATTTAGATTTTCTGTCCCATATCAACCAAATTTTAAGAAATGAAAGAAATTGCAAACAATATTGGTAAAAAATTTTATTAAGTATTCCCCAAAAATATAAAAACAAAAATATTACATGAGAAATATCATATGAACTCCATATATAAATAAATAATCATAAAAAGAATGTACACAAAAGTCAAGATGTACAGTACACTTATTTTTAAACCAAATGCATACATGTACAATGTGAATATAATGTATAGTTAACTATAAATGCAGAAAGCAATGTATTGGAATAAAGCACTAACTGTTCACAGCACTGACATTTTGAATTTTAGAACACCGTTGCCAACACATTCGTTTTTTTTAGAGATTGAAAAATTTAGTTGAATAGAAATGCAAGTTTTTTAATACATGATTTGAAGCATTAAGGAAATGTATACATGAATCATTGTAGTAAATAAAATTAAATTTATAATGTGAATTCTAGATTCAAATCTTTGATGCATTCACATTGCTTAAAATCATGTATGTAGAATAAAAAGATGCAAAGATTTTCATGAAATACAGATTGAAATATAGGTACAGTGTCTAAATGAACAAAGACTGAAATACTTGGATAAAGAACTTGTAGTATATTGCACTTGTGCATAATCACAAATAATCAAGAAAGGCAGATTTTATTTACCAGAGTAAAAATGGAATTCATTAAATATATACAAGAAGCTAAATGACACACTATTTTCATGCAAATATGTACTGAACATTTTTTCTTCTCAATAGCAAGCAAGGGTATAAATTCACACAGATAACAAAGGATTTTCAGCTGAAAACATGCAATATAATATCAAGCCACTCATATTTCTGTGACCAAATCATGTCTTTGAGGATTTCGATAAACTGGCCGCAACGCACTAGCTTCTACAGCAGAATGATTCAAGCTTCTCTGTGAAGGGATGCTGAATCCTGATCGTTGAGATGCTTGAGGATGAGGATGAGGCGGTTTCCTTGGTGATGAATATGAGGGAGATTGTTGATAACCAAGCCAAGAGGAATGAAACTACAACATCATGCAAAGGTTTTGTTAGCAAGGAGACCAATTAAGTTACAGAGTAGCAAAAGGGGTATACTTGCATTGAATAACAGTTTGATTAGCTCTATAACTGAATATTGAAAGCTGATTTTTAATATTCTGAGGAAAGACTGAAAATGATTAAAGCCAATTCAAGTTGTTCTCAATAACATGAAAATACAATTGGATGAAAACACATTTATAATTTTTAATGAAATATTCATGACCTGACCTCGTAAATAATAAAAAGATCTTTGACCGAAAACAAAGATCTTAAAAAATTTGTTTCAAGATTGAAATTATAAATTGATTACACACACATTATTTCAACATGCCATTACTAAATCGATTTTGAATTACTAATCATAATTTTTTTTTTATCGTATTATTCCAGATTAGACATTTTCCATTTGTTTCACTTCATGAAAAAAATTATTTCTTTTTAAATCGTTGTCAGTTTGGTTATGGAAAATAAAATAAATTAGTCTTCAAAAGAAAAAGTAATTAATTTCAATCCACTTTCAAAAGTTAACCAGATATATAAAACTGTTACAGTTCAGAAAACATGAGTTTGGTTCATGTAAATTAATGAGAAAACCCAAACATTGTTATGCAAAGACAGACAGACATACAGATCGGCTTATACAGTGATGGGAGAGGAGCACTGTTCTGAGAATATCATATGCATCTCCTGCAAACACACACTCTCCACTTTGACCATAGATCATAACATTATACACACAGTCTATGCAAAGCAATATAATACTTCAATATACCTAAAACCAACCACTTTAAATTCTGATATGATAGATATATGTGTATTTTTCAATGTCATGATTTTATCATTATTTACACATATTCATCTCTAACCTGTGAAGTATTGTGTGAACTATTTACACTGTTGTGGTCTGTCGGAGATTGAATGCCAGCGTAGCCATTGTATGACGAGTAATTCTGGCCGGCCTTGCTGGGTGATCTCCCCTGATGGTTGGCCGGGTCTCCCCCGCCCCTCCCTGGTATCTGACCCCTGTCACTGTAAGGGGGATGTTCGTGTCTTCTACTGGGGGGTCCTCGAGGGTCATAGTTCAGGGGTCTTTCCTGGTCCCCCCTCACATGTAACTGCCTGTGATTATATGAGGTATTGTTTTGATTTCCCCTGCCAGGAGATTCGCTTGTGTTATATAGTAAGTTTTTATTCTCCATACTCCTGTTTGGAGCATACCCAGAACTGTTCAGAGAAACATTTTCCTGGTTGGAAAGTCTAGAATAGTCACCCGCTTGGTGTGGGCTGAATAACCGGGCATTCACATTACGTGCATTATTATACGACTTGGGGGAACTCCCCGTAAACACACTGGACGGCTGGCTTGTATTGTCTGTATGAACACTGGAGGGGGTAGTCTGTTTGAACGGGGAAGAATTATACACCATGGAAGACAAGTTACTGGAGGTCAAGGAAGAATTAACGTGGTCGGCTTGACTGGTATTGTAGCCAGTTCTCCGACTGTACTCAGGTGTAACTGGAGTATTTGGATGTTGCTGACTCAGGTAGGATTGGTTTTGAAGATGGGTGTGCGAGTTATCAGTTCTCAGAATTTCAGCTGTGGACGGAGGTGTGAGGGAGTACATGGAATGAGGGGGGCGACCGTAACTCGGGGGGTCGTGTATTAACTGAGATTCCGGAGTCTGGTGACGGCGGGGGGATTCGGGCGTTCGATGTCGACGAGAGGATTCCGCATCAGAGACGTAATCTGACTGAGACGGATTCTCCATATTATGCCTCCTGCTGTACGGCAAATTCTCCTGTCTGGAATTCGGAGTAGTCCGGGACTGATTTCCTCCTATAGGACTCCTGTATCTCTCTGACACTTTGGAAATGTCACTCAATGGACTGTTGTTCATTTTGGTGTTACCCGATGGTGGTTTATAAGCATTGGGGTTGTTTGAACGGTAATTCTGGGAGCGACTCGGTACCACATCTGACATGTATCCGCTTGTTCTGGGCTTGGCTGGAGCTATATCTGACGTGTACCCACTCGACCTCTGTGCGGAAGATCCAGGTCGGGGTTGTCTAAAAATAGATAGCTAATTATGTATCCAATGGCAAAAAGAAATATTCTTCAAATACTAAGCAAGGTCTAAATAAAATAAAAAAAGTGGAAAATGACTGACATACTTCACTGACTTACAGGAACTATTATCCCAACAGTGCTACAATTTCAAACTTTCATTTTTTTTCAGTAATTGGTATAAAACTATGCATTAATCAACTCTAATCCAGAGATCTAGGACAATATTACCCAACCTTCTGCAAATAAAGGAAAAAGGAAGCAAGGAGAGAAACTTTCTGCAAACATGGCCAGATCTTTTCATAAACATAACATTCTATATATACAATACATTCAAACAGTTTCTAAGTAAAAATAATTTTTTTTTTCATTTTTCTAGGGAAAAAACTAGACAGCAGTCTTTTCTTCCCAAACAAACCAATTTTTACCTGTCCTCAACCTCTGTTTCCTTGGCAACATTTGTTTGGGTCATGTGATCAATGGCTTCCAGCGTGTCGTCAGACACACTTTCAGAATTAGGACCAATTGTGTCGTCCGACTGATTTGTACTAGTGTTTTCTTGTTTGATGCTGTGTGTAAAATTAGTGTTTAAAAAAATATACACGAATATTCATCATCCATGTCCTTTGAAAAAATTAATTGTTTATTGACACACGTAAAAATCTACACCCATTAGAACTTAAAAATTAATTTGGAATTTAGTCTTTATGATATCTTTGTTAATTATCTTTGATAATTTTTCATTATGTTAAATCCATGAAACTTAATTGTTCTTTAATGCAATATTATTGATAATGTAAAAGCTAGTATATACACTATGTAAAAATGTCATGTGTATCTTGCAAATAAAGCACTGAATATGTAGGTGATTAATGAATCGAAACTTAATTAATGATCCAGATGTGTTAATGCATGATTAGACCATTTAGATAATAAGCTTATGAGACTGGTCACACAATCATAAAAAAACTGGTTATAAAATGAATATCTATCTAAATAGTAAATACATGTAAGTACCTGTACATATGTAATTAATATTTTGAGTCTGTATTGGAAGCTAGATAAAAATTCTTAGGATGCATTAGATAATTTTGTATTTAGTGAGGTACATGTATATCTTCTGTTAATTCTTAATTCTGTTTATATGGGACAGTTGCATAGAATTTCTGGAAGGAAATTTTGGTATATGCATGAGTTCAAAACATAATATTTCAAGATAGCTAACATGAGATCTGCAAAATAAGCCATACATACTTACCTCCCTTGATGTGCCAGTTTAACTAATTAAGCCATAGATGAAAAAAATCTATAAATTAAAAATAATTACCTCTGCACCCTGTACTGAGCTGTTGAACTATGGGGTTGGCTCCTAATACTGTCCATCCTAATGAAATAAATATTTTTTTTCATGAATTAGTTAGAATGAAAATGACTAGAGAATCCATGAAATCAGCTTTTATAAATGATTTGATTTTTTTTTTTACCTGTGACCAAAATTCTGCTCAGATGTACCCTCTCTGTTTGTGTTGGCTTGATTCTTAAAAAAAAAGAAATAAGAAATTTAAATCACACAATCTGAAAGCTGTAATACACATAATGGTGCATTAATTTCTTTTCTAAGGGTCATGAATCAATATAATGTAAAAATGTCAGTAAAATGATATGAATTTTTTGGAATATTTTTTTTTAAATTGAACATAAATCAAACTCTACCCTTAAATAATTTAAAAGAACAATATATGTGTACTACTACTACATGTATTAGTTGGAGTCATACATGTACGAGGGTTGTCCAAAAAGTTTATGGACAACGACGTTTTTGTTAATATAAATGGTTCTGTATGCATCTATTGTTTATCAAAATATTCTCTATGAAAAACCAAGTATGAATGATTTAATTTTTATTGATGAAACTTAACATAATTGTAAAAATAGGGGGTCTTTAAAGATCGCAGATGTTGAGCATGGACCAGTCTGACGTAAAGCTAATTTCATTATAACGTCAAACATTTGGATTTTGACCGCACACATGTTCATAGACACACACTACATTTCTTTTTTAAGGTGCAACTGACTTCCAAGTGCTAGCAATAATCTTTAAGTATAGATTATAATTAATTTAATTTTTAAAATTCAAAGCAATGCACAAAAATTTAAAAACATCATCTATATAAACAGTTTCTATACACAAACTGCACAGCCCAGTCCAATGCTGCGCTAGATTTATAACAATATCATGAATAGAAATCTCCATTTTCAGCATTGTGTTTTAAATTCTTGTAGTGTCTTCGAAGTTGTACACACCATTGAAAATCGCATATACCAATCTCAGATCAATACATTAAACATATTTCGATAATTTTGAGTTGTTTTAACAACTATTTTGTCTCTTACATCGTTTCAACCGTATTAAAGCATATTTTTTTTTATGTCACGCTGCCCCGTTCAGACGGCTGACGTCGCTTTTTCTGTTGATTTTTTTTACACACATTTGTTACGTTTTTGTTTACTATTTGCACTGTCTATATAGTAAGCGATACCTAAGATATCATAAAATGATTATAGCTTTTTTATTTGTGTTACATAAAATTTTTATTATGTCTTGACTTGTTTTATACAGAAAATAATCATTTTAATCCGAACGGTTTCTATCACAGTTTATGTCATTTTAGCCTTGGTCCGTGCGCACCATCTAAGATCTTTAAAGACCCTGATTTTTACAAAAATATTACGTTCCATCAATAAAAATTAAATCAGTCCGATTTGTTTTTTCATAAGAAATATTTTGATAAACTTTAGATTTATAAAGAACCGTTTATTTTCACAAAAATGTCATTGTCCACGAACTTTCTGGACAGCCCTCCTATATTATTACATACGATTTATTTTTGTGACAAACATATAAAGTTAAATCAAATTCATAAAATTGAACCACCTGTACCACTTCTTTATACAATCTTTAAGCATTAAAACCATTCAAATAAGAATTTAGAATAAATTCATGTATGAAATTATTCAATGAATTCCTGAATAAACTTTTTCATCACAAATACAAATACATTTTAAACCATGGTTATGTGGGAGTGAGTTGAAAGTCGTAACTACTATTTCTATAATTAAATTATTTATGTATTTTAATATAATTATCTCATAATCTCAAATTATTCCCTGTGTACTTCAAAATAAAATTTTTTCATGGGCCTATCAATTTGGAGATATTGAGGTTTGACTGTAAATGCAATTTTTTCAATAATTCCACCCCATCCTCTAAAATGAATTATCTGACTATGCATCCTAATTCCTAACTAATTTACTTGAACTTGGAACATGCAGTTGTTATAAGAAATTTTTACTATGTATTTAAGTACATTCAACTAGAATTTGAGTGCCAGTTTTTTATTTTATCCTGTATAAATCTAATGTTATTTTTTTACATGACTACAGTTGTTAAATGAATTAGAGATTATTCCTAGTATGTGAGTCCTTTCACCATGCAGCTCAGACCTGATAAAATTTATCAAAGCTACGTGTCGTGTCCCAGCTACGAGAAGTGTCGTACGACGCCACGGACAAAGAGTCGCCATAAAAAAATATTCTCTCCGGCTGAAAAAATTCACATTTAATTGTAACGGAGTCAAAAAAAAATCATCTCCTAATATATCCAAAACACATATGCATGGTATGCACCAGATTATAATGAAAACTTTTTGACTCATATTTTTTGAAAGAAAATCTTAGAAACAATAAAAAAATTATCTTTTCTTGTATTATAATAAAAAATTCCCGATAAAGCAGCTTACCCTGTATTTAGCTGAACCCGGGTGATGAGAGGACCTGTAGGTGGATCCAGACTTATTGCTTTGTGTTTCTATATCACTCCTAAATGATTAAAATTGTTACATATTACAATAATCAATACAAAAGTAAACTATAAACAATTATTTGGAAATACTAGTAACTGACCTACTAATATGAGCTACAGTGATTTCATAATTTTATGTTGATCATCAAATTTTAGAGTCATGCACTTGCTGTATTTTAAATGGATTCTTTTTTGGTATTTTAATAAATAAACTCTGTTACAGTTAACACTGGCGAAAGTTTTCAGACTTGCCTGTTGTGATAAGCGTTGGTGTCACTCATGTAGTTCCTGTAGCCCCCCAGCTCTGGCGTCCTGTGGGGGGGATCTGAGGGGGTGTAAGGAGGGGGAGGGTCCCCGGACTGAGGTAGCTGTGGTTGACCAGAATCCTGGTCTCTGTAAAATAAACATTCATAAGATAATGCACTGATGCCTACTGTTGGGGTGGGGTGGGGGTATTAGGAAAGGGGGTTAACTGCTTGACCCTTATGGTAATATTATGCAATAAAGAATTACAATTATCAAATTAATAAAGATACTAAAGATAAGTAGTATGTACATGTTCATGTGACTCTGGATGTCACTGAAAAACTACTCACCCAAATCCTCTCCGTTTTGGAGACCTGTATCGTTGACGTACATGGGGTGAATATTTGAGTTTAAAGGGCTCCGCTTTTGTTCTTAAAAAATAAAGGCAATGTGATTTTCTCTTGTATCATTTACATTTTCCACAAAAAGCTATTATAGGAATCTCCTGACAATTTTCATATTACAAATATTATTTTGGTAAATTGTTCCACTTACTCTACTCTGACATAGGGAATGTCTTGGAGATCTTCAGGTGCCATGCCTTCAGTGTCCACCAAATCATATCTACAACATCAAGTCTCACAATGATCAATTGTATAAAAATTACATCTACAGTCAAACCTAGATGCCATGCCTTCTGTTACTTTAAAATCATATGTAATACAATGATCAATTCTCCTGAAGTACAGCCAATCTTGTTGCAATAAGTTAGTTTAAACCACGTTTTCAAGATACTTAAAGTTTTATTTTGTTGAATGTCCTGTGATAAACTTACACAATGTGTTGTTTGAATTCCTCAAGGGGGGGGCAATTTGCCATCCCAGGGGAATTTAACTTACGTGATGTGCTGTTTGAGTTCCTCTGGGGGCCGTTTTGCCGTCCCTGGTGACTTTGTTCTTCGTCTCCTTCTCCTCTTGACCTCTCCAGCTGGGGCAGAGTGGATTGACGGAACAGACCTATTAAAAAATAACAAAAAATAACTTGATTTAGTACTTATATTAAAGTTACTTCATAGGATTCACAAACCATTTAAATGTAAAGACAGAAATGCATGTATTTTTTGGAAAATAAATCATTGAGAACATACCCATTCATATAGCTTTCAGCATTAGCTGGGAAAATTCTAAAAAGAAATATTGATGAACTGCTTTAAATGCCTGTTATAAAATAAAACTTAACAAAAAATATGAAGGTTTTTAAATGAAAATTCCAATGTTGGAACCGAATTTGATTTATACAAGTATTAACCAACATTTAATGAAACTATAAATAGTTATATATGCTTTCTATATTTAATAAAGTGCCCCGCCACAGCATGATACGCCCGTCAAATATATTGTTCAATAATCATAAATTGGTTAAGGTGCAAGAAAATCAGATAACCTTGATTAACAGATTGACACAGATTTCAATGATCCAATTTCCATTTCTTATCATGTTTAAAATATTGTACATACATCTATAAGAGACTTACAGTGTAGGGATTAATTATAACAAATAATACACCATATAATTCTAAACTGGCTGTGTTAGAACTTAACAAATATCCATCTGCAGCTTTCAATTGTTTATTGTATATTTTGTGGAATAATTGAAATGCTACAGTCTAATAAAAAAATCAAAAATAAATTATTCTTTAGACTATAAAATTCTAAGTGAGACAAAGTCACATGACTGTAATTTGTTGCAAATATATAAAAATTGAAATGTAATTTTTTTTTCAATGAACAATATATAATGTATAATTAGTTTTAATTATATTATACAATACTAATTTACTTTTAATCATACACTAAAACATCAATTTCTTTTAATTACATTACACCAATTGAAAGATCTTTATCTGGACTATAGCCATCAAGAACTCTTAATTAACACAAGCAACTATGAGGCCATTTCTTTTTGCCCAAATCCCAAGAGATAAATTAAGATAACAGCTACATGATCAGAGATGCTCTTAGACTATCAGTTAGCTCCTGACAATAAACTCAATAATTTCTCTCTAAATTGACATGCAAATTTCTGCTATCAAAATTCTTCTTGACCAGTGCTTGAAAATTATGCCCATGGGACAAACTGAATTCCTCTCAAAACATTAACATTTGTTACAGATTGCTGTAAAGTATATGATGAAAAAATAAGTTTTTACTTGATTTAATATTTTTGAATAAGGATACAACTATATTTTTACATTTTTTAGGATTATGAAATTAAAAATTTTAAAGACTTAGTTTTTAAAAAAAATTCACTTAAATTAAAGGTCACAGTGACCTTGAAATAGGCCACGACACACCTTCTACCTAAGATGTATAATTTTGCCAAGTTTGAAAGCTCTAGGTCTAATAGTTTTCTAGTTATGAGCTGGACAGGATTTTTCCATATTTGGCCATAGCATCTTTATTAAAGGTCAGAGCGACCTACTTTTTGTGCGCGACACACCGTCTACCCAAGAAGTATCAACTGTGAAAGTTTGATAATCCTAGGTCTAATAGTATTCAAGTTATGAGCCGGACACGAATGGACAGACGGACGGACGGACATGAAGCATATAACATAATACGTCCCATCTTAAGACGGGCGTATAAAAAGAACCCCTAAATTTCTAGACCTACTAACCCCTGCATGGCCTCGTTCCACTGGTTCTCGTACCAGGGCTCCACTGAACTCTTGGGACGCCGGTTCCTGTTGGGGGATACGTCAGACTCGCTACCACTGTCTCCATCCCTCCTACAAAAAGGTTAAACAATTACACCTCAAGATACTGATCATCCAAAAACTTAATTTCATGGAAGATCTCATACAAGAGCATTTCTGTAGCTCAAGGGTCATTCAACAACATGTAAATAATCCTTGAAATAAGCATGATTTTTGACAGTACACGCACTAGATGATTCAGAAATTAAAATGGCTGAAAAAATTCTGTACCTCCTTCTTCTTGAAAAAGACACATCACTTTCATTGTCGGAACCTTTGTTTTTGGGGAAGTATCTGCAATAAAGTAAATCAAGATGTATTTGTGAATCTCTATGCTGCTTCTCAGGGTCCTATTCCTTTTGGATCCAAGTATGGAATAACATCTTTACCAAATAATTTCTAATTATTTGCAGTCATTGAAAATCCTGTTTCACTGAAGATGAACTCTCCTTACTTGCATCTGTGCACACTTTCTTTATAGCCATATTTACTATGTTTTTTTTATCATTATTTGCTCTACACTGCAGAGTACCATTCCTTACTTGCATCTGTGCCCACTCTCTGTATAGCCCATATTTACAATGGTTTATTATTTGCTTTGGTCTGTGCCCACTTTCAGTATAGCCCATATCTATATTTTTATCATTATTTGTTGTGTCTGTTTTACTACAGGCTATTAACATTCCTTACTTGCGTCTGTGCCCACTCTCTGTATCGCTGGTCTGGCCCACTCTCCTGGGGAACTTCTGTACGTCACTGTGGAGTGATATTGGGGACTCACGTCCTGAGGTGTACAGCCCACTATAAAGCAAATTATAATACTATTACAATAATAGTTGGGAGTCTGACTGACACAATTCATCAAAATTTACACTGCTGATCCTTAAGGAGTTGAAATAATATGAAAATTTACTGTATACAGGGAAATTTTCACCTCCATTTTATTTTTGCCTGTTTATCGACAACTTACAGCTAGGGAGACATTTTACGACTTACGTATCCCCATCCTTTTCCCAGGGTGCACTTCTGGTACTCCTAGGTGACTGGTTCCTCTGTAGATCTGGCAGACTTCTGTGTCGAGATCTGACAAAACCAAAATTTCTAAATTAATCACTTAAAATTATCATCAAATATTTAGACTATTTTATAAAATTCTGCTGATTTAGCTCAAAGTCTTCTGTTCATCCTATAATACTACATGTATATACAACAAATACCAAATTTTATTGATGTCATGGTTGACCCAGACCACAAAATTACAATAGGTGATTTTGCAGTGACCAACTCATTTTTCTAGGGATAGAATTGAATGAGGTTCTTGTAGTTGTCCAAGAATTTACATATCTAAAAAATGTTTCTTTTTTGTCAAAACCATGCAATGAAACTACAATATGCTAAAGCATTACCCTCTGACTGGTTCAGGGGCCACAACTCTAGTGACTGCTGCATCATTGATTACACTGTAATAGGAGCCTGCCTTTCCTCCTACAATGAAATCATAATAAATGAAAGAGTTCTCTTCTTTGCAGATACTTTACAGTAAATGTTCTAAGTTAAGCAGTAATCATGGCATGTTAGTGCCCTTTGCACTGCTTCTAGTCCATTACATCATGTTCAAACCAATACATGTTTAAGCTAGATTAAAACAAACACACAGTTTTAGTTTATGAGCAAAATTTTGTTTAATTTTGAGTTATGCTAATTATGGTATGTTTACAGAATTTTTTTGAAATTCCATTGAGTGATTCTAGTATGGACTTATAATAAAACTGGTAATTGATTTAGGTGAACATTAGTTTAGAAGTTTTACCATTGAGTTTGGAGTCGGACTTGCTCCTGGTTGGCTGTCGTCTGCTTGGTATCCTAGTAACCAGTGGCTGCTGTCGGATATCATTGTTATTCTGTCGGTCATTTCTACCACTGTACGAAGAAACGGAGATGTTTAAATTGAATGTGAAGATTAACAAAGAAGATAGAAATTTAATTTCTTTGAATTATATCTTAATATTTAAAAAACATTATTTCAAATTTCACAAAAATATGCAATCGTCTAAATGACATGCATGTACATTTAGAGGGTACAAAAATTTAATAATTTATTTGTCATAGATATCTCAAATTATAATTTCTTGAGAAATATCAGGGAATTAATATTAGTAAAGTTTCAGATACCAAGCCATCCATTACAAAGTCAGATCACAATGTTTTTTATTCATCAAACAGGTTTAAGTAAAATTACTCAATTAAATTAAATGATTATAACGTAATACTAGTTTCTTGATTCTATAGTGGTAAAAGTTAACATGAAAAATAACTGCCCACTTTCTAGTGAGTTTGTTATGATGAATATTATTGTAAGTCATTGTAGATCACTAATTCAGACTTTCACTATGATATTTAGTATTTATAAGCAATGAAAAATTTTGTGAGCGTTGGTTATTGCTGCAAATAACCCTTAACAACACAAATATACGCAAAAATTGAAAATTTACTAATGCAAATATAAAGTTCTCACAAATAAAAGTGATTTCCGTGAAATCTCCTATCTTACCTTCGTCTGGATCCCGCAGGTCTAGAGTGTTTGGAGGAAAGTGCTAATGTATCTGCTAGCTGGTTAATTCTAGATTGCAAGAGAATACACAAAAAATATCATATCTATAGCTCTACAGAGTATAGCCTCTCCCGAGCTTGTGTTAGAGAAATATCACACAGGAGAATTATTTTGGAGGGAAGAGAGGGGTAGGGAATATTTCAATATTCAAAATATGAAAATAACTATTTCATGATGATGTGAATATATATTGATGTAAAAACACTAAAAATCTAAGATAATTATAAAATAGCAAGCCAAACCATGATGAATGAACATGAATATTAATTGACTTGATGGATATGAAAATATATTTACATCCTATATTCTATTTAAAAGGTAAGAAAAGTTAAAATTGATAACAAGGAAACTGCTTATAAAATAAAATAAATCTAGCATCAGAATACATCTACTTATAAATATCAAAGTATGGGTATACGTGTGAAAATCAAATGGAAGAGAGCTATATATATTATCCTTCATAAAATGTGTTCTAAGGAGGTACCTGAAAAACGTATGATGCTCCACACAGCACTTCCACAGATGTTTAGTCCTTGTCTTTGTGGCCACATCAAAGGCATAGGTATGCTCGTCATTCTAATGAAAATAAAAATCAGGAAACTTATTTCTCCCAAAGAAAGTAGTTATTCTAATCTAATGGTAGCTTCAGAAAAAGGTTCAATTTCAAATTTTTTTTTCAATTCTAAATTTTTGATGGGATAATAAAATATATCATTTTCCTTAATAAAATATATCATTTTCCTAAATTTCAAATAAAGAAAAAGACAACAATACTTACGTTTTTGTCCCTGACTTTTATAATGAAAATTTTTCCTTTGAAAGTGACCTTTGTTATTCTTGGCCTGTAAGAAAACAAGTCTCTCTCATTATAACCAACTTGTTGCAATAACTTAATATCATTTCTACAATGTTGGCATACGGCAAATGGAGCTCATGCATATTTACATATGAAATTCCCTTGGTATTTTTCATGATTGAAACAACAGGTCATAGCTCATAATCTTACAACTTTTTTCTTCATATTGATTCAAAACATTAATGTGGCTTCTGAATTCAAAAACTGAGTTTCTGCCATTAGAGAACAAAGAAGGAAGACATCTTACCAGAAGTAATTTCCTACTTTTGACTTGTTCTTATACACAACAATTCCTGTAGGGGTTAGTCCCAGGAAGTACTCTGTGTTACCTTCACCCTGAAATACAAGAGGTCAAGGTCAATGGACACCTGCTAGAAGTCTGAATACCCATTACAGCAGAGAATCAGAAATTCATGGGTATTAATTAAAGCTTGTGTTTATATGTGTACATACCAGCACAGAGTGAAGGTCTACTCCATACATATCCAGCCATTTGACTTTGTCTAGGAATTTGTACTCTGCCTGGCTTGCACTCAGCCCACTGCAATAACCAACATAAATACACTTATATACAGTAAAACTTGCTTATAACAAACACACTTATAATGAATTGTTGCTTAAAGCAAAGTGATTTTCATTCCCTGCGGCTTTTGATATACACTGTAAATATACTATAATTAACTTGACAGATAAACAAAATATGCACAAAATGAAGCAAAATTGCCCATACCTGGGGCCATCCTTAAAAAAATGTTTGTTTGGAATTGCCACCTGGGGGTTTTCAGATATCAGGAGGGAGGGAGGGAGTCCTTAATTTTACTTTTTACATAAAAGCTAAATGATAAAAAAAATAAAATGTAATTACAGGTAATTTCCATTCTTCATTATCCTCTTGCTTTTATCTTTTAAATATTATTTATTTTGAAAAAAAAAGTTATATATTCACAGATTGTTATTTAAAATATTTCTCATTTTATGTTAAGATCTGTTCATTTTTTAATAACCGTTTTCCAAATTTCAACATCAAACTTCTAGTTTATTTTAAGAATCTTTATTAAACAATACTTTTATCAGTCTATTAATGCGTATATTTTTTAAATTATTTCATTTCACTTCTTTGTTATTTCAAATCATTCATCATTAATTTTCATTTCAACCACACAAAATTTCTTGGAATAGTTGGGATGTTTTGTGGGAAACTTCATGATGTTACATATGCATCCATATTACGGCTGATGCATATTTTAACATTCGTTTCAAAGACTTGATTCCTGTTGAATGCATTTTAGTATTTGGGATAAATTGAATTCATGTGTATTTGTTCATTGTTATTCAGATAACTTTTTTTTTCAAATAAAATGTTTAACTTTGTTCAATGTGCAATCTATAAACGGTAGCTCTTTCCAGGTATCGATGTATCATTCCATTTAATTTTTCATTCACCTTTTATTTTTATAGAGATGCGTAAATGTTCTGCTCTTCAACACATTTCTTGAATGTTTCCAAAACATGGGTGTGAAATTTTGGTGTGAATTCTATTTTGACGTCGAATACATGGAGTCACCGTATAATCGCTATATATCAAAAATACTAGGAAGAAAGCGTTTTATTGACCCGATGTTGTTAAATTAATGTACCAGGTAAATTTTGCCGACTTTAAAAAGCAATTTCGACGAACGAACTAACTTGTACTAAACAATGTAAGACGATAAATCGATTTATATAGTAAAAATATTGTTAATATTTTGCCATATCCCATTTTTTGACATATCCGATTTTAATGAGGCGGGTTTACGGCAATGCTCAAAAAACTATAATTTTATTTTACCTGGCACATTGTTCTAATCATGTTTTTCTGTACAAAACATCATCATTCATGACTATCTTTACAGCTATCTGCTTCAACAATCAAGCAAAGTTTTCAACAAGTATAAACACATAATTAATATGATCTTACCTAAGATGTTGATGAAATCTGGCGATCCGCTCTTCTAATTCCTGAGTTTGATTTGGGACAAAACGGAATTCAGAGACATACCCTTCATAACAGGTTCTGGGGTCAAAATCACCCAGTTCAGCTGAAAATGTGAACAAGAATGAAGATTTGCATAAAGTCACCATTCCTAGCTACAATTCCTGCAAGGTTGTTGGAGTGCTAGAATGCCAAGCACATATTAATTCCAAAGATTTTGGTGTCCAGTTAAATAACATACGTGTACACCTTACCTTGCACAGCAAAGGCAAATAACTCTGCAGCTTCATCAAAGGTTATGGGTAGTCTCCCTTGAAGAATGTCTCTTTTTATTTGTAGGAAGAACTGGTACCTGTAGATATAAGGAGACAATTATTCTGATGCTGGATCAACACAAACCAATGATGCTGCAGTAAAGAAATACACTAATCTATTTTTTTCCCTTTATTTTTTAAAATGGTATAATGATTTGAGTGTGACATCTTACACCACCATTTTTACGAATAATCTAAATATTCATTATTTTTTTCTAATTTACCTGGTAATTTCCTCCTTGAGTTTACAGGGGTCTGGGGGGTAGAATTTGACACCAAAATACAAAGTGTAAGGTTGACTGCATGCTGAAACAGGAAATTAGGGCATATAGTTGTACATGCTTAGCATAGAATTCTACTCAGTGTAGTCATTAGTGCAAATAAAGATTATAGGCACTGTTCACAAACAATGCTTTATAGACTTCTAAAGTTTTGAAGTTCATTTTTCCCTATTTTCCCAAAGGATTGATTTCATTATTAACTTTCTCTGAAGATTTTTTTTTAAATTTAGGTTTTGCAGACAGAACAAACTTGTGGTTTTTGTTTCTATTTTTGACTGAGAGAAAAAAACAACTTGTGCAGCTGGCATATCTGTAACTTTTGTTGAAAGGTTGTAGTTGCCTTAAATAACCAGATTGAACACCTCATAAAAAAGCTTTTTATATGGCATGAGAAACCCTAGGTGATACAGGACTTGTTACATGAGAATGATTCATTCCAAATCATGACTCGGATACATACTAACAGCATTAGGCACTAATGTGCAAATTGTGACAAGTCTCTTATAAACATGCAATATCTTAGATCTACATGCTTCATGCGTAACCATATACAGTAAAACATGGTTATAAGTGCTTTGAAATGGCTAATTATTGGTGTTCAATTAACTGATGTGCTAAATATTTATATCAAAGAGAGAGAGAGAGTGAGAGGAGAAGACAGATGAATTCACACTTACATAGAAGTAACCTACTATATAGTTTGATATGTATTACAAATTTATAAAAAACTTTAATTGCCAATTTTGTTTTAAAAAAAAATATTGTTCATCCCTAGCACTTCCGTATAAGCATGTTTGACTGTATTGGTACATAAGTAACCTGTAGTTGGTCCATACATACACTTTAACTGAGAGGCAAGTGCTTTCTGCAGGTCCAACCAGTGCTGAAAAAAAAAATGCAATGGTGTTATACATGGTCTAAGTGTGGTGATCATTTCAATGAACCGCCCATTTATCATTGATCCACCACATAAAATATTGGAAGTGGTCATAATTCATAGAAATCAGACACAACCGATTTAAAATGAAGGAAAACTAAATTGAGTTCTAAGCTTCATAAAGGAAATTAAGTCACACCATTTCCTTTTATAAATTTTAATGACTTTGGCATGCTTTCAAACTTTCAGATAGAATGATTGAAAACCTTAATGTATCAAAATCTTAATCCCATCCATGTATTGATGCAGCATTTGACGGTAGAAAATTAATTCAACCTGTGATGGTTTAGGCATTCTATTACATGTGCAGGTTCCTTTTTTTTTGCTTGTCATGAAATTTGTGCCCCCCCCCCCCCCCCCCCCCCCCCCCCCCAACGGAAGAAAAGTCTGAATCCATGCATTCTATTACATACTGTTTGGTCTGACTGGTCCAGAAATCTGAGGCCAAAATAGTCTCTCTCCAACAGATTCAGGTGTTCAAAGACTTTGTCCAGCAAGTGGGCGGCTTTGGAATTTCCCTGCAATATATTCACATGAAAAATAAATTTTGATATTCGAAGCATTCTAGTAAGATTTATTGTTGTGCATAAACTCTAAGTCCATTTATTAATAAAACTTTGAATGACTAAGTCACTTCTATACCATTTTTTTTTACCCAATAGATAGATTTCAGTTGGCCCATATTAACAAGAGTTACTTCCCATTGCCTGCCAATATTGTAGGTTTTCAACATGCTCATACAATAGTATTCCTTCATTATTCAACCAACTTTGTGGGGACTAGGAAGCATTGTTTCTCTCATAAAAGCCTCCATTATTTCAAAATTTTATCACATAAAGATTTCCCCAAAAATATATCTGCTACACCCTTTTATATTTGGTAAGACAAAGAGGAAAAATTACCAGGTTGACCAGTAAGATGGCGGCCAAGGGAAATAACTTGGAGAGAAAATATGTTATATGAAAACTATGTCTGTTGCCAAAAGCAAATCTTGGCAAACATTGCTGACCCTAAGTCTCAAATCTCAGAGTGACACCTATGAGATGAATGCCTTTACAAGGGAGGTAATCCTGATACAGTACAACACGCTAATTATGAAGAGTCGATTTTGTTTCATATAATGTTAGTGTAATTCATTTATATCCATTTAGTTTATGATATATTTTTTAAGTATTTGGAAATGAAAATTACTTCACTGTAAGCATCAATTCATTATGTACATGTCTATAAGGCTGAGCGTGTTCTATTGTATACCTATGAGATGAACCCTTTATCAAAAGAGCTGAACTTGCATGCAGATAAACCTCTGAGATGCAAAGCAAAGAAGCTGTCACCAAGTTTAACAAACCTAGGACCTCTGAACCCTTGATACAATAGGCCTAGGTGTTGAGACAGATATACCTAGGAATGAGTCAAATACACAAAGAAGCCAAATCTTATCTTTTAATTTTGTACTTATAAAGAGTAAGAAACTCAAATTACAACCTTAAATTACCATACTGATCAGCATATGGGCAAAATTTGGAGTGATATTTTTTCCATATATTAAATTAATTTCTATAGATAAATTATGTAATCAATGGAAATTTGTACATTTTTTTAAAGCAAAGACTTTGTTTAAAGTGATAAAGATAACCCATATACCCAACCTACATTCATAAATATTTACATAGCAATAAAAGACAAGTGCTCAAGCAATTATCCTCACCTAGGTTCAAAAAGATTTTTGCACATTTCAACAATACGCCAATGCAAATTTGATGAATTACAGGTAATTACCTAGTTTTAACAGGTAAACCATGCCTCCCTATACATCTTTTTACAAATTCTTTCAATTTATCGACAAACAAAAATATGACAAGACTTTTAAATTAACGTTGGTGTTTATTTCAATCACTGTAAGAAGACACGATATATAGGAGTTTCCGCATGTATAAGAGATGATGGCAAGGCCAGATTACGACAAGTCTTAATCAGTAATTTAATGGAACCAAGAGAAAATTCTTTGTGCTAGCTGTTCCTATATATTCTTTAAAAATCTTTAAATCCCTACAATTTTTTAAAAAATTTTTTCTCTCAAGGCTTCTGAGTCTTAATACTACAAATATAAGATTTCTATTGTTAGACAGGAAAGAAGTTCTGAATACCAAATAGCCTCTAAATGTTTGAAATTTAAAGATAAAGTGATAACTTCACACTTTGATATTTACAATAGGTATTCCTGAGGTGTCAAAGAATCAAGGGGAGATTCACATAATGCACACACACCATTATTCTGGATTATACATTATCCTAAGGTGCTGTAAAGCAAATTATTTTCTTTCACATTATAATCTGCTAGACTGAATTCAAATATTTGAGGAAAATATCTAATAGTGGAATCTATACAGCATGGGGCATATACCTAAGTGGAATCCCCATGGTGGTTCTAGTGTCTATATAGTGTATTTGACACCTAGAGGGAACCTGACCATGAACATTGTTAGTGGTTCCAGGGTCAAAATCTGACACCTCCATGGAACCACCATGTATGTATATCCTTGGTGGTTCCAAGGTTAAAATCTGACTCCTCCCCTGAACCACTATATACATCCTTGGTGGTTCCTAGTCAACTTCTGATTTCTCCCAAGAACCACCACACATATACAGATATCACACCATTATAGTGGTTCCAAGGCTGAAATTTGACTCCACCTCGGAACCACCATGCATATCCTTGGTGGTTCCAGGGTCCACTTCATAATTCTTTTTTATTTAGTGTCAGATCACCATGATCAGAGAGAGAGAGAGAGAGAGAGAGAGAGAGAGATTATAATAATTAAGACACTGCATGCATATACACTCTGAGTGACTGCTTTCAACACCTGCATGATGTCAGGATGTGTTAATGAGTCCTTGTAACTGTGAAGAAAGGTTTAAGTCACCCTGGAAATCTCCAGGAAATGGAAACAATACATAGTAAACAACAAATAAGATTCAGACACCCCCCTCCCCCAAATACATTTCCTGGCAAACAGCCCTCACATTTATTCTTTAGATATTCTAAAAGTACAATGTATCTCGGCAAAACATTTCACAGACAAACACTTGAGCCTGAATGTTTATTTTATGTAAGAGGCATAAAACTTTTTTTGATACAATATTCAAAGAAAACTGAGCCATTCACCAAAGTCTTAACATTCTAAACACATCTTTTTTTCTATACTGGAATTTGACAAGTTCAAACAAAATTGTAACTGTTTGTTAAAAACAGCAGGTGGCCATACAGGTTTTCTTTTATTCAGTTTGAGCTCACACAGAGGAATAGCTGACCACCCTTATGCAAGAATGAATGGGATTTTTAAAATCTATACACCCATGTCAAGATTCTTGTAATAAATGTATTACTCGGAAAATCAATGCACTAGTTCATATTTGTACAATAGAAAGACCAGTTGACTTAATAATTTACAAAATTATTGAACTTTTTAAAAAGCGATTGAATTATAAACCCTTAAATGCATTCAATACTTGATGCAATTGAAAACCTTTAATATAAATTAAAACCTGTGAACTGGGAAGTCAATAATAAATTTGTTTCTAATGTGTCGATGTATTGTAACATTACAAAAATTAAATTAATGCAAGACCTCTTATTTCTCTATAAAAACTCTACTTCATAATCACAAATTGACTGCAATAAGTTATGTCCATAAAAGGAATAATAACCTCATTAGTTGATTTTCATACAATTTTAATTTAATAAAAATCAATTCTTCATAGTATATCTACTAGACTAAGTGATTATGGATTTATTCAGGTTAAGTTTCTCGAGAGACAATTTCTCCTATAAAGTCTGTAGTTTAATATTCCGGAGGTAATTTAAGATTCCCATGTATATCATTAGATGTCCCGTTGTGTACATTATGTATAGTAGTTATACATGTACACAGCATACCAACCCCATTCCTGCACTTGACGACAGAAGAATGAAGACAGAAGTGGGACCAGCTTTCACCTGAGACAGGTGGACGCGTATATTACCGTACCTACAGCATGTATATACCTCGGGCGGATCAGAAAGCTGATACCTGGGATAACGCGACATAAATTGTCACTTTCACACTCAACTTCCCCGATAGCATCTCTGCCATCAGTTTAGCTACTGCATTATGACCTTGTATATCAATCAAAATATCCCGTGTACAAATTGTGGGACAAATTTTTATCTTTGAGAAAGGAGATACTGGTATATAGATAATGTTAAAAATTATAATTACTTTTTGCTCCTCTTGCAAAGGTGTGAAATCATTTGGAATTCAGAAATCTGCATATCAAAGTTCTCTAATACACATATCATAAACGATCTGATTTGGGTTAATCTGTAAGATCTTACCAGTAATAGAATAATTTTTTTTAGAATTATATACTTTTTTTTTTAGATTCAATCCATTTCTCCTTCAAGATTATGTTTTGATCCAGGGTCATCCCATATTTCCATTGTAAAGAAATATTTATATGATCAAATTCATTTGTTGAATCATTTTTTTTTCTAGTCTATATGTACATTCTACAATTTAAAAAGAAACGAGGTCATAATGACATTCTGCAAATACCTCTGCAGAAAGTCTGGTTCATATAAATCAAGAGATTAACCAACTATAATCACAGGATCAAATGGTTTTTTGAAATTTTAATTTCCACTTCAAAAGTACACTAATGTATGACATAATCCCTATAAAATAATTAATTAACCTTTGTAAAGATTAATAACTACAAAGTCGCAGATCAATATAAAGAAAACAAGGTGCAAGGCATATCTTGGAACTTTTTCAACATACTCAGCATATTATACTTAAAGTAAATAGCAAGAGTATTATTTTATAAATGCATGGACAGATTTATTATAATGTTTCATATATTACCCACTATATCTAGACTAGTCCCTTGGTTAAGGTACTCTGGCGATTTTAGAATATGCATGTAGCCACACTGTCAGAGAGTCAAATATTGGAATATATTGCCTGTTAGACAAATTTCAATATATCTCAACTCAAAATGACTGAAAGCAAGTTTTGAGATATATTTAAGACAAACATCCATATCTCAAACTTAACAGGATTGTAAGCAAACTTTGAGATATGATAAGGCAAATCTCAATATCTCAAACTTAACAGGACTGTATGCAAACTTTGAGATATAGAAAGCAAATCTCAATATCTCAAACTTAACAGAATCATAAGCAAATTTTGAGATATAGAAGGCAAATCTCCATTACCTAAAGCTTAACAGGACTGTAAGAAAACTTTGAGATATCAAAGGCAAATCTCAATATCTCAAACTTAACAGGACCGTAAGCAAACCTTGGGATATCGAAGGTAAATCTCAATAACTCAAACTTGACAGGATTGTAATCAAACTTTGAGATATCCAAGGCAAACCTCCATATCTCAAACTTAACAGGACTGGGGGCCATAAAACTTAGACGAGCTCACTTTTGATCTCAGTCTCACTTTTACCAAAGTGGAAAAGTGAGACTGAGATCAAAAGTGAGCTCGTCTAAGTTTTATGGCCCCCAGGCTAGGACTGTAACCAAACTTGGAGATATCTATGGCAAATCTCAATATAAAACTTAAAAGGATTGTAAGCAAACTTTGAGATCAATATCTCTGACTTAACAAAACTGTAAACAGACTGAAATATCTAAGACAAAATAAATATCTCAAATGTAACAGGACCATATATTTAAAACAATCTCAATATCTCAAACTCAATAGGACTGTAAGCAAACTTTGAGAAATTTGAACCAAACCTCAATATCTTAGAAATGAACATGACTACAACAATATAAGCATTAACCTTCTGCTATGACTGCAGCTGTCCAAGACAAACCTCAATACATGTATCACAGACTTTAATTAAGGACTGTAAACAAACTTTGAGACAAATCAAACTTCAAAATACCAAAAAGTGGCTTGCTCTAGAATGAAAGATCAGAAGGGATTTGTAAAAACATATCCCTGGCTCTCTTTATATACTATTTACTTGCGAATTGTAGCATTTTGATTAGCTTTTTCTCAAAATATATAAATCAGTTTTCTGTATCATGGAAGTGCATATAAATGATTATTTAAGGAATGAATTTAATAGCTACCAATTTTATACTGTATAAAATGGGTTGGGGCAGTTTACGCTTTATAAACCGCGAAGCAGTTTATAAAATAGTGTAAACTGTTCCAACCCAGTTTATACTGTATAAAATAGGTAGCTATTAAATTCATTCCTTATAATTTAATTTTCATTCATTTGATGTAAAAAAAAAAAAGAAAAGATGATTGTTCTAACAAAATGACTTCAGTTTGTACAAAATTTGAATGTAACGTCAGGCGGATTAATACGTTTTTGACGCAAGTCATTGTAAACGTAGGCAACCCATTTTATATGATATAAAGTAATTTTTTTATCCAATCAAATACAGCGTTACAACCAAATTTAAATTATTTAAAAATGTACTTCAATAATAACCTTTTTAGCAACTTTTTTGTCTCATAAGTCTCACATTGGCCATTTATATGTGTATTATAAATATAGGCACCAACAGAATGCACACCATCTCACAATGGAACCTAGGCCTTTTTAGGCAGACTGAAGTATAAACTCTTTGTAACAGACAATACACACACTCGGATGAAGATGAGCAGATAAGGGAAGACCTTGTCAGAAACCCATAAAGAGAGTGGTAAAACGTACACCATCAGTCGTAAAATCTGAATAAAAAATGTTTCTGCTATTGTTTGGACCTGTTACATGTGACAGAACTGAAGGAATGCCTTTGTGTTTCACCATAATTTTGTCCTTTTGCGATATGTGGAAAGCTACTGGTTAACTTGACATTAAAACATAAAATACCATTAAAATAAATGAAATAACATTTTCATTCTTATTATCTAACTTAAGCATTCTGATTTAATTAAGCCTTTCAGAGGTCTGGATTTTTAATCAATTCCTGAAAGTGTATCAAAGAAGTGAGGACTAAATGTATGAATGAAATTTTTACAGGATGTAAATATGAACTAAGCTTTAAATCCGTTGTCAATCAGGCATGAAATGGAATTTTAAAACCAACCTACAAAACCGAAGGGATATTACGAACACAATGTCCAAAACAGATTTTAAAGTTACATCACTCATCAAATATAACCCAGATCGAGTTAAATCGAATTTAAACGTACAACTTCCATCTGTCCTCAACAAATACCTTAAATACACACACACTGATTTCTCAGGCTGTCAACTTTGTACCTGTTCTTTTGGTACACAAATAAGCACCCAGTGAAAACATACCTGTAATGCATGCAATATATGCAAATACAAGTGAGAAGAGATGGAATGGGTCTTTTTGCAAATCTTTATTCATAGTCAAAAATAGCATTAAACAATTAAAAATAACAATCTCTAGATCCAATTCAACAGAGGAAATAATAATACTGTAGAATCATTTTGATTCGGGGGAAGGGGGGGGGGTGTTGATATTTGTGGGCAACAAAATTTTACTTTTTCATGGGGATGTACATGTAACTTCATGGGTTAATGTTTATAAGGTAGAATTATTATGAACATGGGGATGTAATTTTCGTAAGGTAGATAATTCACGAAAGAATGTAAATTCATGGATAAGAGTGACCCTCCCACAAAATCCATGAACATTCAGGTGTCCCCCGTAAACAAGATGATAGTAAGGCATCAAAAGCACAGTGGATCTTTCAACCAAAAATTTCAAAGTTCCCCTCAAAGACAATTTCCTTTACTCTTACGATTTGTGAGGTTGTACCTTGACAAATATTTTATTGCAGAAAAATAACAACCCTTTCCTTTTTGTAGGACAGGCAAAATGAAATGAAGAAATATTAATCTAACTGAGCCAGAGACATGGTTCCCCTTTTGGCAAGGACGTAGGCCTATATAGTAACTTTATCAAGTGTATATAACAAATATGTATGTCTGTTGACAGTAGAAAACAGATTTCTCACTGGACTTCATGTGCCATTCAATGAGTATCTTCACTGTAGATGAAATGAAGAATTACAGGACAGAATCAAGGAAAATTTCCCCCCAACAAATTATGTTCGTCCCTGAGGCCCCCTACAAATGATGAAATCTTTGTGTCACAACAAAAGAGGGAGCTTGAAAACTTTATTAATTATTATTAATATTTGTTAATTATCAAGCCATAAACCAGATAAATTTCCTAGAAGTTGAAGCAATGAACAAATCTGATGAAAGCTAATTTTTTTCTCCTTGCACTCAAACACCCCCTTTTCATTGAACAGCCACTGACCCTGCAAATGTTAAATGAACATATGCATTAAACAAAAAGTCAACTCAAACTGGCAATAAAATTTCTCAAGAGAGGGTCACTGTACTTATCATAAATTTGGAAACAAATTCCACATCTTCCATAATTATAATTGAAATTGAACCATGAATTATAGCAATGTGCCATGGTTTATCCATTAAATATAACTGGGAATGATGCCATGCAACACTGCAGGATGGCAATTATGGGTTTCTGTGCTCAAAGCCCTGGTTGCACATAACCATGACCTAGGCTGCGCTTCTCCATCATTGCAAAATATCTACTTCAGTCCCCTGGGTCTATGCCAAGTTCATTAATTCAAAGGATTAATCCATTTTCCAGTTTCCATCTATCTTTTTTTTTTCATTTCATCTTCTCTTATCGACAGAAATGAAGTACATTTCATTACTAACTTGAAATTCAGGGGAGGGAAGTATGCTTTTTCTAGATCCTAGAGGAGTTATGCCCCTTTATTCAATTTCATTTGATTTTTTTAAGTTTCCATGAATATTGATTTGAAATTCACTAATTTTTAGTAGTATAATTTTCAAAAGTTTTAATGTCAAGTTATCCCAATGGCCAAAGTTTCAGGGTGGGAGCTGTGCCAATTTGTAGGAATTCATTGAAAATTTAAGCGAACTTGCTAATTCTGACTGGACTTTAGAAATCGACCAAATTATTAGTGGGGTGGGAGTTAGAGAAGTTTTACAGTATATACAGTATATAAAGTATATCACTGAATATAACTGTATACAGATGTGTTTCAGGATAGATAAGAAAACTTATGATTTATCCTGCTTATAAACCCCTTTATGCATTTAGTCAGGTTACATTATTTTTCCATACATACTAGATTCTTCATGATTATAGAGAATAACGTCAGTTTTTATCATTATTATAGGCCACAAAACCAATCTACTGTGATGATCCCATGCAAACAGTAATTGTTGGTCTGCATTTATAGTATATGTGCTGATGACTTTCTTCGCCTTACATCACCTTTTTGTGTCATTGATACCCCATCATTAAGCTGCAGGTGCGATGATAAAATCTTGCGGTATAACACAACTAAATCCATTCATTTTGTATCTAATTAATGTTGATTTTCCGCCTTTTAGTTGGGAAATATAACTATCCATTTGTAAAGATTCAAATTTTACGAAATAAAAATAAGAGGTAAATTTTATTGACCTGTCACCCAAACAAAAGACTCGATCACCATTTTTGTCAGTGATTGTGAGCTAGGCCTACACAATGAATATAAAACAAACCTTGAATGAAAGATGTAGATCGGTGTCATCCAAGAAGAGAATTCGACACACAGGTCCATCCTTGGGTCTGTCCAAAAATCCACTATCCCTGGTGACCGAAGTTTTGGACTTGTCGGTTCTCAAAAATCGTGGAATTAACCGCGAAAATCGGGACATCGTCTCATCGGGAAGTCGTTTTAGTTTTCCCTCTTCAAGACTTCCAACGTTGGGATAGTATAATCCGTTCGATTTCGTCCATCATAACTTATAAACTCCAGAGTAACACAGTGTAGGAGTGTCTTGCTACCAATATTCTCTTTTATTGTTTTCTTCGCGATTTACCTGTACGCACACACTCACACCTGTGCATGGGAGGCAACTCCGAAAACCAAAACAAATTTACAATAAAACCTCCATGGACAGACATGGAAATTCCGAATTGAGCACAGCGGGAGAGAGTTTATAGAACTATTTTGTTACCTATGATACAGAACATATTATCAAAATATTTTTATGACATGACAAGAAAGAAGAGATGAGAGAGTCATGTAAAATAAATAAATAAATAAATAATAACTATTCTCAAAAAAAAAACCCCTTTCAATAGTAAAATGTTTACATGTACGTGGAAAATGGGGGAAGGGGTGGGGGGGGGGCAGGTGCCTGCTGTTCTCCACAATGTGAAAACTTCTGATATTGTTGCTATTAATGTCTGACGTTTTTAATACTTTCTTTACGATTTTGATAATTGTGCCAGGAAAATGACCGATAATTCGGACTTAAGATTATCCTTTTTTTTGAACATAACAATGTTAACTTTAAGATCAGACGACATCTTTCTCAAAAATTTAAAAATTTTCCTAAGAATTTGTCATTAAAGTCTATAGGTACGTAAACAAGTTTCCTTACCAAAAATTAGGGTACCCTACCAGGTACTCCACGGGATGATATATTTCTTATACTAGTATATAATTATCTGAATGCAGCCATGGCCTATATCACAATTTTTTGTGCACTTATATTTAAAAACTCATTGGAAACAATGTGCAAATCAGTGGCGGATCCAGGAAATTCGTGGCGCAGCAGAAGGTAGAGGGTCAGGTGGCTGTACAGAAGCCTGTAGTGGGTCCATGGAAAGGTCCTTTTCGGGGGTCCGGGGGCGAAGCCCCCAGTTGCTGACAAGTTCTTACAAATAAGAGATGTTTTTGTCCTTTATTTTAGGATAATGGACATATGAATTTTACATACAAAAATTTCAAACGGGGGCACGCCCTGCGCGCCGGTCCTGGATCCGCCTTTGCAAATGTTATTATTTAAATTTATTATATTATGTAAATATTTAATGTATAATTTTTTTTCATGTGAATTTCATATGATATTCACAATGACATTATTTTTTTTTAGGCACTTACCGCGACACAGGCGACGATTTAAAGATCCAAGGTAATGTGCCTTTTGCATGGAATGTCAATTAATAAACGTAATTTTTTTTTCGTGAACTTCGGATATTCTTTGAATAAACTGGGTTACTTTGAGCACAATCTAAATAAAATTAGATCTTTGATCCGCTCCAGTTTGATTGTGTAGCGATCAAACTGGAGCGGATCAAAGATCTAATTTTAATTACATTAGTTTGAGCGCACAATTTTCCACTATAATAAGAAAGACAAGAAAACATTGATGTAACCATCAATTGTCGCCCGGGAAATACATAAAGTAAACAATGAAAATGAGTCTTGATCACCAAACCGCTTCGGTATTTGTAAAAATTTTAGGCATGCGTCTAACTGATGGAGACGATTGTCGCGAATATTTTGAAAACTTAAAGTCGGATAAAAATCAAACAAAAACGATATCATTTTTAACTTGTTCAATTCCTCAAGTAAATGTTGGCTGCATAAAATTTAAATTGAAGTTAGACACATGCATCACCTATATTTAAAAATGTATTAATTTTCAATTTTAGAATATAAAACACGAACTGTGCAGAGTACGTTTTTATGCGAGAAGTAAAATTCGATGTTCTAAAAAAAGGGACCTGTCGTTTTTTCATAGTAAATGATATGCAACTTTATACATAAAATATGAAAAACATATATATTTTTACAGTTTCACTTAATGGAAGTAAATATATTATGTATCTCGTAATTTATAAACGGAAAAAACATTCTGATTAACAATCTTTTCAATGTTTAGAAAACCTTTAATTCTAAATAACTACTCCCACCCCAATCCCCATACACCAACACTTAAACTTATATGTATAGAGCAGCCCGGTCCTCCGGGCTGCAATAACTCGTACTTTTCACACTTATAGAACTGGACAAGCTGGAGGAAAACTTGAGGGGGGCTTGAGGGGGCTTAACCCTCCCCCACACTTTTTTTGCAAATATATACATAATATAGGCATTGAAAATTGGGGTTTACTTTTTTTTGTAGGATTAGCCCCCCCCCTTCCACTATCAATTTGCTTCCGACGCCTATGCCAGGTGTCAATTATGATCTGAACAATTCAGAATTCACACTACCCCAGGATGTTTCCACATAAGTTTCAACTTTTCTTATATAGCGGTTCTTGAGAAAATTTTTAAAGATTTTCTTATACTAGTCTTTATTTTCAATATAAAACTTTGATCACCAATTGTGCCCCCCCCCCTACCCAAAGTGTCATGATTTGAACAAACTTGAATCAACACTTATATTAAATCCCATTCATACGACAAAAAATTGCCTATATGTGTATATAAATCTCGTCTCATCTCACCTGTCCTCTTCGTGCCCGCTGGCACATAGAGCCCCATACACTGCCTCGATCTTTGGCTGCTGGCCTCGCTGTCGCCCAGCTTTTCCATCACAGTTGTAGCCTCTCTTGCTCCGTGGTCCTTCTCCAAATTGTTTTTGGCCGGCCTACCGTATATACTCGCCTATAAGTCGGATTTTTGGGAGTTAATTTCAGGTCCAAAACTCTATGTCCGACTTATAGGCGAGCTATAAAATGAATGGTATTTATATGAAGTCAGTCCCTCTGATTTTTAAGCTTATTAAATACAACCGACTTATAGGCGAGTATATACGGTACTCTTCTCTTTCCTTCTGGATGACATGTCAATGCGGTGGTACATATCCTGGTGTTATCCATCCTCAGTACGTGGTTAATCTAATTCCACTTCCTGAGAGTTGTTATCTCACTTGCTCTAGCTGTCTTTGTTCTACGATGGAGGTCTTCATTTGACACTTTCTCAGGCCATCTTACTCGCAGAATCTTTCTAAGGCATCTGAAGGATGTCAATTTTCCTTTTGTCCCTCTCCGTTGTTTTCCATGTTTCCCTTCCGTACATTGGAACTGACAGGACCTAGCTGTTAAATAACTTTACTTTTGTTTTGATGGAAAAGTTTGATGAGATCCAGATTTTTCAAAATTGAGACTTTTGCTTTTCCCAGTCTGTTGGTACACTGTAACGTCCTCGTCAGCTCCTCCCTTTGTCGTTATCACACCTCCAAGGTTAGTAATGTTTCTATATCCTCCAAGACTTGCCAATCAATCTTGACTGCCTCTTTTATATATGTTAATGTTGAGCTCATCACTTCGGTTTTCTCTATGTTTCTTCTGATGCCAGCTTGTCTAGCAATTTCATTGAGTCTTTGTGACTTTTGCTGGATGTCTTGAAATTTTGATGAGAGTCAGGCAAGATCATCTGCTAAGTCTAGATCTTCGAGTTTTGTACTGAAATTCTACCTTATTCCTGTTAATTCTCTTTCTATAGTTCTTTTCATTACGTAATCTATAACCAACAGAAATAGGAATCCAGACATTGTGCACCCCTGCTTCTCTCCTGTTGTTACCAGGAACCAGTCCGTTTCTTCCCCTATCATCTAGGACTGCATATTGAAATGATTCATATAGGAGTTTAATCATTCTGACCAGTTTGTCTGGGATGCCATAAAACTTCATGATAGACCAAAGGCTCTCTCTGCGAATGGAATCAAATGCCTTTTCAAAGTGAACATAATTTACAAACAAAGTTGAGTACATTGTTCTGTGATATTACGGAGTGTAAATAGTTGTTCTGTTGTACTCCTCCCTCTTCTGAAACCAGCTTGTTCCTCATCGCACAGCTGTTTTCCACTCTATCTTGGATTCTTTGTATAACTATTCCGAAGGATAATTTGCTTGGTACAGACAAAAGTGTTAAACCTCTACAATTATCACATATTGATCTATCACCTTTCTTTGGGATCTTTACTATCAGGCCTTTACTCCAAACCGATGATATAGTTTTTTGTTTCCAGATTGTTGAAAATTGTTTTTCTAAATATCTTGCTGTTGTCTCTGTGTCTGCCTTTAAAATTTCAGCTGTTATCCCATCTACTCATCCAGGTTTTCATTCTTCAGTTTCTTCATAGCCTTGACAATTTCCTCTTTCCGTATGGGACTTGTATCCAACTCATTTAATACTTGTTCTTCGCTTTCAACCTTTAATGGATGTTCGGGTTGTGAGCGGTTTAAAATTTCTTGAAAGTGATTTTTCCACCTTTTCTTTCTTTCATCTTGACTGCTCAGAATCTTGCCTTCTTTATCCTTTATTGCCGTTGCCATACCTTTCTACTCATTACTTAGCACTCTAGTTATCTCGTAAACTGTTTCATGTGCCCATTACTTGCTGCTCTTTCTTCTTCTGTAACCATGTCTTCTGTCCACTTTTTCCCGCTATTCCTATTACTTCTCTGTCTTTGATTGAATATTTATTTCTCAAGCTTCTTTTCAACCTTTCTGATCTGTTGTTGGTAAGTTGGAGTTTTAGCTGCTTCCTCTCTTCTACCACCTTCTAATAGTCCCTTGCTTATCCATGGATTTTGTCCCTTTTCTTTTACTCTAAGTCTGCTGTTTTTCGCTGTAACCTTTTTTCATATTTTCCAAGATATCACCAACATTTCCTAATCTTGCTAGTACTTGGAATATATTTTTCAGCTTCAATAAGAATGCTCTCCTTTTCTCTAGCTGTTGTAGTTCTGTAACATTATACTTCTTTCTGCGTATGTCTGCATTTGATTTTGTTTCTTCTATGGATGTCAACGAATAGTCGACTATTCTACTATCAGTCGAATGGACCGACGATCGAATAACGAAACGACATTCAAATATTTAAAAAATGCAAAGCGTCATTCCTCAAACCATTATAGTATCCGTCCCCGGACGAATATGAGCCTAAATTTGAATTTCCACAGAAAAAGGTTAATTTTTTACCTCCCCTTTTTGCGGAGGGGGTATATGACTAACCTTTTAATGTTTTTTAAAGAATTTAGTAGAAAAAATATGATATACTGATTGATACCACAGAGCCAAACTTAAAGACTTTTCTGCCAAAGATTCGTATGGAAATTTTCAATGAAATGATGAAGGAAAATATCTTAAAATTTCATTTTGTTTCAAAATGTTTCGCCTGCCCTTTAAGACTGTAGAAGAGCAATTGACGTAAAGAAAAAAGTGATCATTGCCATCTGATGGTTAGTGTCTTCAGCGAAATATACAACTTGAAATCTTTCTGGTGTAAAAAATCTACAATGTATGATAGAAATTCTACAATGTATGATAGAAATTCTACAATGTATGATTGTTGGTAGACGGGAAAAAAGGAAAAGAAAGTACGTCATACGAAATCAAAATCTTTGTAACCTCAACAGATCTATCAGTAGTTTGCATCAATTTTAAATCTGAGAAAGATTGAAAAAATGAGCAAGAGCTAAAATGTGGTGGGACAATTCATGGAATGCATAATCCTATCATGGCCTCAGAGCTTTCCCATGGACAGCACTGGAACAGAAAGACTTCTACTTATGAATTCTGCAAGGTATTTGCGACTATGTACAACTATATTTATCTTTCTAGGCATAAACTTAAGTTTGCAGGGAATGGGCATGATACCCATGTTTTTGAACTACTGAAAATTTATCTCGTAGGGAATAATGGTTTCGTGTTTCCAGAGTGGAGAAGGTCATTTGGGGAAAGTTTTAAGCTCGGCTACGCAGTGCTTCCTTTGAAGACTTGGCTTTTGAAGCAACCGTCAATAGATTTGCCCTTTAAAATAGAAAACCTCAACTCACTTTCAATTATCGTTAAAGCAGAGAAAGGATCACGATTTGAATCCGTGTTTTTAGAACTTTGATATATAGCCGCACCAACCAGTATTTTTACACTCCATGCAATTCATATGACAGTAAAACGTTTAAAATGGAGATTTTAAATGAGAAATACGAAATACACAAGTAAATTTGATGTGTGTTCCTACGACATAATTCACTTGCAGGAACTAATAATTTGCAAAAACGTGTATGCAAAAATGCAAAAGTTAATTTGCACCTAATCCTGATCAGGTGCAAATTTACTCAACTTTGCATAATTTGTAGGTGAGCAAATCAGTTCATACGACATAAATTGCACATTGTAAATTTACATATGTGTTAAATATACAGAGGTATATGCAGATCGTGTCGTATGAATGTGCTATAATTTAGGATATTTGCATATAAATATATTTACATCCTCTGAATATTTTTCCCCTTTACTTCTTATGAAGACCATTGCCATTAATCAGTGCATGAACAACACTAAGCAAGCCAAGTGTGTCGTTTTCTTGAACATAATTGACTGTTCCATCAGTTCCACATACAATGACATATTCATCTTAAATACAATAGAAAACAAATTTTATTTTACTTTGAATGATTTTAATACAGATTTAGATATAAACAATAAAAATTAATGCTTTCTTTGTTTGTTAGTTCGGGAATTAAAGTCGCAGAAAATTGCAGAGAAAAATTACATAACCCGCATAATTTATTTAAATGACAACTAATGGCTTTGGTTGAGAAGATTTTTAATTTTTTTTGGAGTTTGTTCCTAATATATAACACTTTAATACTCTTGAAGGTCATGATTTGAACAAACTTATATCTTCACTACCTCACAATGATTCCAAATAATTTTTATATTTTCAACACAGAGGTTCTTGAGAAGAATTGTTAAATGATGCTATTAATTTTTCATGAATTCATAATTATATCCAAATGGCAGTAGGCGTCGCCCTTAATTTGATAATGCCGAATCCCCTTTTCTCCAAAATACTTTGTGGGAAATTTGATTGACATTGGCCCAGTGGTTTTTGAGAAGAAGAAAATTAAAAAGTTAACGACGACAATGGACAAATTTTGATCAGAAAAGCTTTAAAATATGTAAGCTTTCGGCTCAGCTGAGTTAAAAATATATTCGACTTTACAAACTTATAGCTGACTTAAATCTATTGATATTACTTTTGAAATAGATTTAGGTAAAGGGTTTTTGAGTTATAAATATCATCATGTCATTAACCTGTAAAAATATTCAACAATCGTTTGAATAATACATTCAGATATTAATTGCGTGAGGAAAATAAAAATATTTTGATATTAACATTAAGTCTGAACATTGCTTAATATTAATTTTACTGTTTGGAGACCTTTTTAACTGCTAAATGCTTGGAAGTGATGACTATTTTATCAGCTTAAGAATTCTTAACAAAAGTAACAACAAGACAATTTGTTTCTGTTGAATTTCACCCATTGTTATTTTCACTTTCTTAGTCTTTCATACATTTGAAACTTGAATGGCAGATACATCTACTCTAAATTTCAAATTTCATTTCATCATGGAAATGAAAAAAAATAAGAATTCTGTGTATACTGTAAAAGGAACGTTTATTTATTTGCTATATTACATGAGCACAAACATTTTCTTTCTAACGGCATGTACAATGATATTTGAAAGCAGAGTTTTCAATTTAAAAGCATTACAGTTCTTCATCTCTCTGTACTTTGTATTTGTTATCTGTTCCCTTTGTGGAAAAAGTTATCAAAAAGTTATCATTGTCTTAGAGTGAATATAAGTATTATGAATAAAAATCATTGTCATGTTCTATGTAATAATGGTCATAGATTTCAATGCAGATATTTGATTTTCTTCACTTGATTCTTTGTATATTGAGCAACAAACAGATTGTCATTTGTATCTGTACACAGTCCACAGGGTTTACTCTGTCCACAGTCTATGTAACGGAGGAACTGTCCATCCTGATCTATGATGTGGACACAGTCATTGTTATAATCAGCTGTAAGGATGTGACTCTGACTGTCTGTGGTGATTCCTTGTGGACTGAATGGTTGGTACTTTGGAGCTGGAGTATGTCCATTGTACCTGAATCTCAGTTTCCTGGCCTGATTGACCACCACTACTGCTCTAGATCCATTGTCAGACACACAGATATCCAGGTTCTTGTTCTGAGTTATATATAATCTATATACATTAAAAGAATAGAGAGGTTTACCTTTATCATCAAACTGAATGGTTTGTTTCTCTGTGGAGCCAGAGTAATGGACAACTTTTGTTTGTTTGTAATCATCATTGTCCATGATAACCAGGAGGTCACCAGAGGAGGTACTACAGACATCTTGAGGTTTCCAGTTCTGTAGTCTGATCACCTCCTCTATCTTCTCATTCTTCACAAAGTTCACAGTTCTATCATCATAATCAGTATATAATAGATCTCCACTTTTTGTCACTGCTATGTCACATGGCATGTTCCCTGATTTGGTTTTGATTGACTTGAGTAGTGATCCCTGATTGATGCTAAAGAGTTTCATGGTACTGCCATCTCCACTTGACGTCCAGATTTCTTTGTCACTCAGACAGGCCACATGGTAAAGCTGTCCATACCCAGTTTTTATGGTGGTGACCATCTTTGGTTCATCAAGCAGCTGTTTGACTGTAGAGGATCCAGCTTCTGGTGATTTCTGTGTTGTCTTCATGCTGTAGCCATGTTTATCTGAAGTTAAAGAACTTGGTGATAAGGCTCCAAATAGTTTAATAAGTTCTTTTTGTTGAAATTTTCCTGGAATGAATTTGGGTAACAATGGTATTTTGTGTGGAAGATTTATGTATCTAGGTACAGACTTGACACTAAATAGTTCTGACAAGTCATTTGTGTCTAATGCACTTTCCATTGAATCGATTTTTTCCTTTATTTCAGACATTGTCTTTTTTATATCATCCAAATGTTTCTGTAGAGTTTGTAACTGTGTGTTTTTCATCTTCTCAACTTCAGCTTTAAGTTTCTTGACAAGTTTGTCAATTTCTCTGTGCCAGTCCTCTCCATGTTTTGTTATGGCTGTTGAAAGATCTCCATAATCCTTTTTTATCTGACTCATCCTGTTTTTTACACCAGAGGCAATTTCCTGGTAGGTTGGACAAATCTTTTGATTTAATTCATTTCTTTCCTTTCTAAACATGTCTTTTTTTTCATCCACAACTTGCAAAACTTTAGATAATTTATGACCTAAATGAAGTTTAGATGCAAGGCAGCTGCTGCAAACAGGAATGTCACATTGTTTACAGTACATTTCACATCGTTTTTTGGCATGAGATGGGCATCTAGGGTAAATGGGAGTGGATTTTTTTCTGTCCTGAAATTTGACGACCTTATGATCTTCGGTTTCACCTATTGAGATGTGTTCTCCCACACAGGCCTTACACAGGTTGACAAGACATGTATCACAGTGCATCTGTACTACAGCGGTCTCACACAGGTCACATCGCATCACGTCCTGAGCACTGGTACGGGGGTCCATGGTAATTTGTAACTGAAGCATAAACAATTCAATATATTAAGAAATACACATTTATCAATGGATTTGAAGGCAACATGCATTTTCATGGACTCCAACATGCAGGAAAAACAAGCTTTGCAGATAAGCATGTCCATAGAAAAATCATATAACATTGTATGTGAGAAGGAAATTTTGTTTCCCTTAGTAAAAGATTGTAATACTGAATTTTTAAATTCTTTTAGAATCATACACTCAGAAAACTTTTAAATTCCTTACCAGACTTCAGTAATGGCGGCCGTCCTGTTGATCTATCTCCAAGTGCAGTCTCTATACACTCTGATCACGTGACACACCTGTGTTATCTACCTGTCAGGTGTTTATACTTCCTGGTCCAGATAACTTCAGCAATCGCTCTTTAAAATTCAGTTATATCTAATTTATAGTTCTAGGATTGTGTGTGTGTAAACAATAATTCTTACAGTTTTGGCTTGATTTTAATAGAATTTGGCACACAAGTAGACTACACTGAGATACATAAATGTTTCCCACTTTCACTGATAACATCTGAATGACAGATGATAAGGTGTACTACATATTTGACACAATAGGCTATAAAAATTAATGACATCTTGACTCATAAAGACACCGAAAGCAGGAAACAACAATTCTTAGAATTTGCTAATTTTAAGTCTTTTTTAATTAGAGTAAAATAAATTGCTCTAAATTGTAAAATTAAAAATGGTTCCCTAAACTTTTCATCAGGAAGGTGAAATATAAATGTGTCGGTGATTCTTGAAGTCTAAATATGAAGTTCTAAACATATTTTTTTTTTTGGGGGGGGGGGGGGGGGAGGAGGAGGAGGAGGTATTAAACTGCTCACTCACCTTACATCGCTGTCCATTGAGTCTCTTTTCCTGGATTTATGTTCTTATTCGTGCCACTCAAACGAACATAAATAATTTATAAAATAAGCACAAACACGTATATAAGGATTTGAAGCGCTCTGATAGTGCAGTTTACTTATTATACACAAATCTTTACAAATACAATTCTTCTCTAACATTGTCTTCCTTTCTACAAAACAAAACAAGATTTTTAAAACATAAAATCTTTTTAAAACAAAAGCAAGGGCGGGTGGGTGGGGATTCAGTTAACTGCACTGAAAGGAGCCTTCGAATGGCTTTAGAATATTCTGTGCTAACAGCGGTCATTAAAACCCGTGCAATGAATTTAAATGTCACCTGACAAGGTGACCAGCATTACAGCCAATAGATTACAGATATAAATAAACACGAACACGTGTTATTTGCAACATTGATAAATACATTTATCAGTCCAGTCCAATACGAAAAATCGTAATATTACAGAATATCGTAATATTATTCTTATATTACTATTTTTCGTAATATAGTTAAATTACGAAAACTCGTAATATAGCATGTTGTGAGAGACTATATTACGAGTTTTCGTAATGTAAGACAAAGAAACTGAATGATGTTAAGGAAAGTATGACGTCAGAAATACATTATGCCCCAATGGTACTAGTATCACATGGTCATTTTGGTCAGTGACGTCTATCGAAAAGTATGAAAATGCAAGAAGAAATTAACAATAGTAATTTGTGAGTGAAAATTTTGTATTATTATTCTTATATAAGAATTTTCCCAGGGATGGGAACAATTTTCCATAAAACTTCAATGTATCCTAAAACTTGTCATAGTGTTCTATAATCCCCGTTCCCTATATTTTTCCCGACCCTAAAAATCAGACCCTCATCTCCAACAACTAGATGTTACGGGATATAACTTGTACAACTTCCACTAGGCTCTGACTCTGCATGCACTTGGATCAAATGCATCAAAACAAAGAAAATGCATGCATATTCATGATGATTTGATGAAACCAGAGATGTATAATCTCTCATGAAACATAACAAAGAGGTTGTATCAGAAAAAAGGGAAGTAACTCTTAGAAGAGTTAGAAATTGCTTATATTACGAATTTTAGTAATATTACGATTTTTCGTATTGGACTGGACTGTTTATGTTCTTATTCGTTCCACTCAAACGAACATAAATAATTTATAAAATAAACACAAACACGTATCTTAGGATGTGAAGCGCTCTGATAGTGCAGTTTACTTATTTCGAAAGACAAAGAAGAGTCGAAAGAGAATGACTTGTATAATTATGTGAATTTCATATACCTAAGTTTTTGGTTACAGATAATTTATCATGAATGTTTTCTTTCACATAGCCATCTTTAGCTCTCTCTGACCTCCACCGCTCATGCTTTTTTAAACAACCTGTCACTTATACCAGCCGCTGCAGCGGAAGTTGCCCCGCCTGACCGTAAGCTATGAAGACCAAATTTACTCTTTTTATCAAACCCTATTTTTTCAAAAGCATCTAAGACGATTTCTCGTGCTCTAGTATAAGACAAAGGGCGATTATCTCTTCTAACTTTATATGCACTTGTATTTTTACAAAATGACAAAGATCTGAATAAATATTCTGATGAATCAACTTCAGCACCCAACAAGTTTATATATTCTTCTAACATATGTACAGGACAAGTGTCACCATGAGTTCTAGCAATACACACCTCCTGCCCTTCTTTGTAAACATCCATTTTACTTTTCACAATATTAATTTTCATGCACACGTCATCAAATGATATATCATTAAGTCTAATATTTGCGAGCTCCGAGAATCTGAGGAACCCTGCAAAACCTAACAAACACAAACATAAAGTACGCATATTATATAAATTGTTTGATTTGTATCTCTGAACCAATAACTTCAAATGATCTGGTGTAATTGGTTCCTTTTTTACAACTGGCTTGGAAGTCTCTCTTATTGCACCCTCCTTTGTTAATTTCACTAAAACGGATTCACATGGATCTTTTAGCCCTACTAGCTGATGTGCCCAACTAATAGAGTGTGTAGCCAATTGAATTTTACTTGATGATTTGTAATCTTTAGCGATTGAAATTATATATAGAGCCACGTGTTCATCCGCTGCGGGTAATGCAGAAATAGGTGCTAGGGCAGAAAAGCGCCACACCATCTGCAGAAAGCATTGAATGCGTACCTGTATTGACTTGATGTGCTCGATGCTCTGGATTTTAGGCAGTAGGAGGGTAAAAAGTCCCTAAGTTGTTGTAATCGCTGATCCTCAATCCTCGCACTTTCAGACCACCGTCCCGTTTTAAATATATCTGAAAATTGTATAAAACGGAATACAAAGATTAAATTGACGTTATTAATACAAATTTGTCTTATGGTGTATCAGGACCCTCAATCAACTGCAATACACCGACTTAACAGATGTATCAGGACCATAAATCATCTGCAATACACCTGACCAATATAATCATCTCATCCCCATCTCATCTGCAATACACCTCAAAACGTATCTACATGTATATTTACATTCTGAACTCAACATGTTCAACATGAGTATATAAACAGACTTTATATAACGTTCTATATTAGAATCTTGCATCCAACTTCACTGCCATTATCCCAGAAGTAAAATTTTTTTATCTAAACAAACATGCTTTGTTATCACCCTGAATAAGGATGTCTGTACAATCATTAAATAGTAAAGCATCTTTAACGTACCATCTATACGCCATATCTTTATAAAAGATAAATGGCCAAAAAACAGCGGAGGGCCAGTTTGGAACAATTAAGACCCCGAAATCCTTATATGCTATTAGATGTTTAATAGCCCGAACTACTAAGTGAATAGGGGGCACTAACCAATTGTTTTCGTGTTCCCAGTTTTGAATAAAACAGTCAATAGCTTCTGAGCCAGGATTCCAAAATTTTGAATTACACCGTCCCAACTTACAATTGTTATAATTTGCAAATCTGTCAACAGTAAAATTTCCGAACAAGTTGTTAACAAATTCAAAAAATGTTGCAGTAACGCCCCAGTCATCGTGATCTATAATATTGCTAAGAAAATCAGCTTTATCATTTTGTAATCTTGGAATCCATTGTATGTCTATTGAAATTTTTTGTTCTACACACATTTTGAAAATATTGTAAGCAAGAGATTGTAAATGATGTTTCATACTACCAGACTGAACAATTTTTACACAACTCTGATTATCAGTGAACCATTTCACTTCTTTATTCACTAAGCTATCTTTAAATGAAGCCAAAGCTAGTTCGATCGCTCGAAGTTCTCTCCAAGTAGAGCTCATACCCTTCTCAAACTCTTTCCACATTAAGTGAAAAATTTTTGAATCAACTTCGACAGTGTACGCTCCTGAAGTAGACTACTCGCATCAGAATAAATGATGACACTTTTCTTTGTCGGTGTGTGTAAATACCTTGTTTTTCCGAGTAAATACATTGCAACCAAAAATTACATTCATTTAGAACCTCGTTCTTGAGTGTGAATACAATAACATCGTCCCATGACTTTCTACATGCTATCTCTATAGAACAGAATCTTGTCATTATACTACATATGTTACCCATCACTGGTGACATTGACATAATCTTTCCAACTCTCTGGCCGTCACTCTAGGAAAACTCTTCACTAGTTTCTGCAAAGAAGCCACTGTATCGTCCAAACGTCTTGTAGGCACTGAAATAGAAAATGACTGCGAATCCCAAGAAATTCCTAACCATTCTAAGTTCTGCGTTGGGTAAAATACAGACTTTTCAAAATTTATAAGTAGCCCAAAGTCAGACAAACTCTTTTGAATGAATTCTGAAACTGAAAAACATTCCTGTTTAGATGGGGCAAACACAAAACCGTCATCTAGGTAAAGAACTATCTTAATACCCTTCTTTCTCCAGAATTTAACAATAGGTCTTATACTTTTTGTAAAAATAAATGGAGCAGATGACAAGCCGAACGGGAGCACAGTAAAACAATAATATTTTTCGTTCCATGAGAACTAAAGATATGTCTGAAAACTTTCAGAAATATCAATATTATGATAACCAGATTTGAGATCGAATTTTAGACAATAGCAATCTTTCTCAAAATAATCCAGGGATGTTTTCCAATTTTCAAACTTTATTTTCTCATATTTTCACATAATACTAGTAATTCAGTCTACTCAAATCTAGTATCAACCTCTTTTTTGACCTGTTTTCCGTGACGCTAAGAGGGCTTACAATATATGGTCTGTGTGTAACTTCTACAACACAACCTGTCTTGATTAACTGGGATATTTCTGATGTGACAAATTCAGCGTTAATTTTTGCAGATTTGTTATTTCTAAAATTCATAGATGGCGGAAAGGAGAGGAAAGGACTTTCAAAATGTAAGGAAAAGCCCCAATTTCTTCCCATTTACTGTAATGACTTTTTAGATATGTTTAATACTATGTTCCGTATGACTCTTTTCATGAACACAAGTCAAACAACCTGTGTACTTATCATTGACTTTGACTGGTCTTTCCCTTTTGGCAGTTGGATTTCCAGTGCCCTGTTCCGAAACAACCGAAGCAAACGCCGTAGGGCATAGGTTGTCTCCTTGACTGCATGTTTCTGCCTTGGCCATAGAGAAATGGCTGTTGTTGTTGCTGTTGAAAGACAGGAAAGGGCTGAAAAGTACTAGTAACCCCAGGAAGAGCCAGCTGAGCTGGAGATCCCGCAGCTGCCGCTGGTGGCGTCTTCTGTGTCCCATAAGGCTGAAATCTCTTGTTCTGCTTCTGATTTCTGAGGGCCCTGTTTTCGGCACTGCGTATCTTCTTTTCATCATCGGAGTTGTCTGCAATTTCATTACACTGGTATTCGTTGACAGTTATCCAGCCCGCGGGAGATGAGTCAGCTATGCGTATGTGCTTTTGACGCGTTTTCAATTTTTTACTTAAGTCAGAAATGATTTTCAATGATTCAGAATCTTTTAAATCAAAGGCTCTCAAACTGAATTCGGTTGCCTTCAGACTTTTATCTTGTGTAGAGAATTCTCCTCGAGTTTCTTCGAGATATACTCGGACTGCTCCGTTTTCAACTGTCCCGAGAAAGTTTTGAATTGAGACTGTATTACTCCCGTGAAGAGTTTAACAATGTCCGAGATTTCCAACGAAGAGGTCCCTCCTGTGCTGTCTTTCGGTAATTTATCTGTGTCCAAAGTCAGTTCATCACCCGAATCGCCCATATTACGTGGAAATAGAGAGTGATAAAGACGTGCTAACTGCACTGAAAAGAGCTTTCGAATGGCTTTAAAATATTCTGTGCTAACAGAAGTCAGTTAAAATTTAAATGTCACCTGACAAGGTGACCAGCATTACAGCCAATAGATTACAGATATAAATAAACACGAACACGTGTTATTAGCAACATTGATAAATACATAAAGATTAGAGGTCCTTGTCAATATGTTGTTATATGATTGAAGCTTTGAACGAAGCCGAAGAAACCCTTTCAGAATAAATATATGTTAATTTACTTTTCAATTAAAATTCTCCAAGCCAATGCTCAATAGTAAAACCCCCGCTTTGATGTGAATAAACACATCATATGAATGTACACAAGTTCAGTAATAGTAATTCCTCAGCAAAAAAAGTGCTAAAATTACAAGCATCCGCGATGAGTGGTTGCTGAGAGAACTGTGACGAAAATTTGTTATGTGTGGTAGGGAAAGACGGAGGGATAAACAACAAGTTGACATTGGATTTGACCAAAAACAAATCCCGCCACATGACATGCCTCACTCAGTCATGACAATGAGCACAAGGCAGGTGTGCCAGGTTTACAGAGTATGCTTGGCACCTGATCCAACCTTTGATTTCATGTCTCATCTGCTCCTGATTTGTATAGTTTTAACGAACTTTTGTACATACTGTAAATCACATATTTTCATGGGGTCAAATTTTCGTGGTTTGGGGGGGGGGGGGGGGGGGGGGAGGGGGAGGGAATCTCTTGGTTCGCAAGGATTTGATTTCGTGGATCAATAATTAATTAGTACTTATGTATGTAACATTTTACATTTCATGGTGGACATGAATTCGTGGGTCCCCTTAAATACCTTGAAAACGACGAAAATTAAACCCACAATAATTTGTGATTTCACAGTAATTACTGTTTAAGAACTCAAATAATGATTAAGAAATGGCTTTATTTACAATTTAATTCAAATCCGCTTTCATAAATAAATGTTTATTTCATTCAAATTTAAAAGTAAGTACCAGTCCCACCACCCAGAAATGATCGCTTAGGTTGTGGGACTGGCATAAATCCTAAGCCACCCCTTGAACTGTTGGAGCCACCCCTGGAACTGTTGGAGCCACCTCTAGAACTGCTTGATCCACCTCTCTGGTTTTTTCCAGCACTTGGGACCTTCTTGGATGACCCTCTGGAGAACTTGTATGCTGAAAATTTGCTCCCTTTTTCAGAAAATCCCCTGCAAAATGTTAGTGAATGCATTGTAAATAAAACAGAATTAAATTTAGTAAGTGTTCATTTTAAAATCTATAATATGTTGACGGTGTGACCGTTAGGGCTAGCGCAGAGACTTATTCAGTTTTCTTTAGATCGGGCTTGTCAAACAGCACGTGACATTCGGTGTGTCTAGGGCTCTGACGTCATATGCATGTTGCTTTACCAAACCAAAGCCTAAACAGGGCTGATTTTAATGAAGAATTATTTTACTGACAATTTATCTGCTATAAATTCACTAAATCAAGGCAAGTTTATTATTCGCTTAACTTTTGTTGTTATTCTCGCTAAAACATTGCTATAGCTTTCATGTACAAAGTGATGCATTGTGCATTCAAATTACTGCGGAAAGAATTCTATCAAATGAATGTGCAGTTGTTGTTAGGACTTGCAGTGATGAGCGTCGCTTTAATTTGCGACGCTTGCTGCGCTCCCGATAAGACTTTCATATCAAGAATTTTTTCAAGACTTTATTTGGCTACATTTGACAGTAGATTCAAATTTCAATCAATGCAAGATGGGCACTCCACTGAACATCCTTGTTGTACCCTAATTACATTTATGATAAAACACATACATGAAGCAGAAATATTGTAGCTCCTTCCTGGTTTTTGTCTCTTACCCAGAATTCCCAGAACCTGACTGGCTTCTAGCGCCTCTCTTCTTTCTTCCAAAACCTCTCTACAAAGTAAAAGAGTTTAATAATAATTAATTAAATGAATTCTAATCAAATAAATTATTTAAAATGTACAGCTGAACTTGGAACATGCTTAACTACTGAGAATGAGTAAATTAATGCAGCTAATCAGTGATGTTGTAGAAGTACCTTTTTGTAGGCCCCCCTCTTTCTGCCGGTGTTAGATGACCCAGCTGACTCGTCTACAAAGTAGGGAGACTCCCACTCCGGAACATCTGATTCAACTTCCTCCTCCTCTTGTTGTAAATCTACATTGGGAGATCAAAACAAAGATACTAATGGAGATCAATCAAATGTACAAAGGGAGATCAATCATATGTACAAAGGGATATCAATCTAATGTACAAAGCGAGATCAATCTATTGTACAAAGGGAGATCAATCTAATGTACAAAGGGAGAACAATCAAATATACAAAGGGAGATCAATCTAATGTACAAAGGGATATCAATCATAGGGCACAAAGGAATATTAAATCATAGATCAATCAAAGAGTACAAGGGAGATCATTTCAAAGGGTACAAAGGGAGATCATTCATAGAGTACCAAGGGAGATCAATCAAAGATTTTAAAAGAAGATCAATTAAATATACAAAGGGAGATCAATGAAATACACAAAGAGAGATCAATCAAATATGCAAAGGGAGATCACTCAAAGAGTACAAAGGGAGATCATTAACACCATACAGAGAGATCAAATATAAATGGAGATCAATAGTTATAAAAGGGAGATAAAGCAAACTAAGTAAGATAAATGGAGATCATTTAAAGAATATAGAAGTTTAATCAAATTAAATATGAAGGAAAGCTTAATAAAACAATTTAATTAGATTTTCACTTTACAATGCTGTCTTTCTTTTGGAAATATTCTTTAAAGTCTTACAAAAAAGCACATTCAATTCAAACCCCTCCTCATTTAAAACACAATTTGAAATCTGACAACTTGGAATACGCAGATTAGCGTAATTAACTTACTCAAGAGGATTAGATTATAATTCTTGGTGATTTCAAGGAATCTCTCAGCTCCATATTTGTTGACTTTGGCTTTTGGCAAACCATCGATACTTGCCGTCATCTCATCTACAGTGAGTGGAGTCTTTTCTGCTAACTGTCGCAGGGTTAGAATAGGGAATACAGTTGCGTAGTTACGTAGGCCATGCTCAGCAGCTGTAAAAAATCAAGATCTTTATGCTAAATCTTATTCAACATAATGGAAAAGGGAAAGTACAAAAAAATTAATTTAGATGTACCACTGACAGCCAACCTTACCGATTGTCTTTGCCATTTCTAGCAGTTCATTGAGACATTCTTTGATCATGTTCTCCCGTTTACTGACAGGTTCTTTACCGATCTTAGCCGCTTCAGTTCTTTTCCTACTGCCCTGTACCTGTAAATCTACCTGCAAATTAGAATGATTTTTTTTCAGAAAGAAAAACAATTGAAATGTCCACTGTACATATTCTTGTGATTAATGAACAAATAATACAGATTGCTTTCAAACAATTTCAAAACAATTACAGTCAAACCCCATTATTTTGAACTCTAGAGGTTGAGATTTCCAATGAAGTTTTATAGATAATCATGATAATGAATGAGGTGAATTACAATACATAGAGAATAGTTGGGACTTCCAAGTTCCAATTGCAAGTATCTAAATGTAATCCACATCCAAAATGTCTATGACAATGATACTTAAACTCGCTGTATTTCAAGGATTAGAAACCGATTCAAAACTTAAATCAGAAGTTCCAATTTATGTACATAAATGTAGAACTTTCAGAATCAAAACATCAACATGATCAATGAGTTTGATTATTTTTTATAAATATATTTTTCTCCATACATAATAATGCTGAGGGTCCTACCTTGCGTTTTCCTATCATCACGTCGTTGGCTTTAGGCCCGAGTCTGATATAACAAGCTTTGGTGTCTGCCGCAGTAATTTTTAGATCCTCATTTAAAATTGCGTCGATAACCAATTTTCTCAGCAGTCTCTCAGCATCAGCCCTGCTGTAATTTTTACCACGACCATGAAGGGGTATCCTGTCATGTCCAGCATCAGAAATTTTGTCCGTTTTAGCCCCTTGAAATAAAATTTAGTCACACAATAATTATCATTGTATATACACTTTATAACATGTGAATACAGATTAACCAGTGAAGTTGGCAATTTACCTTTTTCTAGTGAACAGTTTGTTGCCCATATTTTGTTTTCCAAATTAACACTACGAATATAACACACACACACACACACCAAAAACTGAACTTTATTAATAAAATTTTGGGTAACAAATATAAAATTTTAGGTTAACAATAACACATCTGATTACAATACATGTATTATGCATGCTACATTACTGTAAATCACCTTTTATTCAGGTATTGAGAATTTTCATATAATTATGTGAGACAGTCCGCTCTCGAAAATATTGTTCCAACGTAAATTAGTATTTATCAAGTAATAATCACAATTTGTGAAAATTGTGTCTGCCTAATTGAGTTTTATGAAGAGACTTACTTTTACATTTGACAGCTGACTTTTACATTTTAGTGATTGGAGTTTGTCTATGTTTAAATTGTAAAAGTCAGTCGTCAATTGTAAAAGTAAATCTCTTCATAAAACTCCAATAGAGACGTAATCTATGCCTCACAAAAATAAGATCCAGGAATCCAGACCATTTGTTCAAAGCACAAGCAAACAGATTGACAAGGCTACACTCTATATAATTTCTGAAAATTCCCCATTAGCTTTCTTTACCTCTGAATATATCCACAAAGTAGATATGGGTATAGTCGTTTCCTCGTCTTCCATTGACGGTCAGATCCTTCACACATTTCACAATCTTCTTAACATCATCTGTGACATCACGGAGTTGCAAGGACTCCTTAATATAAAAGAAATTAATTAATCATCCTTAACTGTAGCTGCAAACCCTCCAAAATTTATTTCATTTTTAAATATCAGAAAAACTATTAACGTTTGCATTGTGTATGAAATAAAGCAAAATTCAGATAAAAGTAAACAGAACATAATGTAAATTTGAGAATTCTGATGTTATATCAGGTACTGTTCTAAAGTGAAGCCAGTTCTATTAAGAACCCACGCTTACACAAACTTAAACCATTACACAAATTGTATACAATTGTATAACAATTGTATTTAAAAAATCAAAACAAAAACAAAGAATGAAAATAACCTTAAACACACAGTTGTCACAAATAGCTCCACGGAAATTCCCACACTCCTCTTGATTAAAGTCTCGCTCTCCGAAGTAATTAAGCAGCTGTGATCATTGACAGTCGGCCACGTTCTCACAGTACTGTACCATTCTGAAGAGGTTGTCTATATGAACTTTTTTGGAATCAAATGTGCCTGTCTGATCCACTGCGAAGAAACAAAACATACTCAACATTTTAGATTTTAAGTCAAAATGTGGTTGTTTGATTTTGAACAAAATCAAACATTTTTCCAGTATGTACAGTTTATATAATGAACCTCAGACATGATTGTATAAAAATATCTTTTTTCCACGGACCCCCCCCCCCCTACTTACTCTCTATAATCCTCCTCAGTCTTTTGACATCCTGGTACATGTAGCACATTATAACAGACCCCCTACTTACTCGCTATAATCCTCCTCAGTCTTTTGACATCCTGGTATGTGTAGTACATTATAACAGACCCCCCTACTTACTCGCTATAATCCTCCTCAGTCTTTTGACATCCTGGTATGTGTAGTACATTATAACAGACCCCCCTACTTACTCTCTATAATCCTCTTTAGTCTTTTGACATCCTGGTATGTGTAGTACATTATAACAGACCCCCTACATACTCTCTATAATCCTCCTCAGTCTTTTGACGTCCTGGTATGTGTAGTACATTATAACACACCCTCTACTTACTCTCTATAATCCTCCTCTGTCTTTTGATGTCCTGGTACGTGTAGTACATTATAACAGATCCCCTACTTACTCTCTGTAATTCTCCTCAGTCTTTTGACGTCCTGGTCCGGTATGTGTAGTATATTATAACAGACCTCTTACTTACTCGCTATAATCCTCCTCAGTCTTTTGACGTCCTGGTACGTGTAGCACATTATAACAGACCCCCCCCCCCACTTACTTACTCTCTATAATCCTCCTCAGTCTTCTGACATCCTGGTATGTGTAGTACATTATAACAGACCCCCCCCCTACTTACTCTCTATAATCCTCCTCAGTCTTTTGACATCCTGGTATGTGAAGTACATTATAACAGAACCCTTATAATGTCTTTTGACGTCCTTGTATGTGTAGTACATTATAACAGACCCCCCCTACTTACTCTCTATAATCCTCCTCAGTCTTTTGACATCATGGTATGTGTAGTACATTATAACAGACCCCCCCCTACTTACTCTCTATAATCCTCCTCAGTCTTTTGACGTCCTGGTATGTGTAGTACATTAAAACAGACCTCCTACTTACTCTCTATAATCCTACTCAGTCTTTTGACGTCCTGATATGTGTAGTACATTATAACAGACCCCCTACTTACTCTCTATAATCCTCTTCAGACATTTGACGTCCTGGTATGTGTATTACATTATAACAGACGCCCCTACTTACTCTCTATAATCCTCCTCAGTCTTTTGACGTCCTGGTACGTGTAGTACATTATAACAGACCCCCTACTTACTCTCTATAATCCTCCTCAGTCTTTTGACATCCTGGTATGTGTAGTACATTATAACAGACCCCCTACTTACTCTCTATAATCCTCCTCAGTCTTTTGACGTCCTGGTACGTGTAGTACATTATACAGTGAGCTAGTAGTCCGTCCCTCCCGGCTCGACCCGCCTCCTGATAAAATCCCTCCACCGACTTTGGCAAGGAGTAATGAATGACGAATCTGACATCCGGTTTGTCAATCCCCATTCCAAAGGCAATGGTGGCACATATAACCTAAAAATGCATATAGAATCTAGATGCTTGGGTTTGGAACCAATTATCAAAATTAATTAGACATACTTTATTTTTTTAAGGGTGTCAACAAATAGATGACTCTTCGCGACTAACAGTTGAATGGACATACTATTAAATGAAACATCATTCGATTATTATTGTAAATATTTACATTTCCAATAAATTTCCCCTAGTTTTCTTTACAAAAATATGCTATTCATTTTTTTTTATGAATCACATTAGGTATGTACCATGAATAAGCATGAATATCTCCATTGTTGCGTCATGATACTGCTCTTCACGTTAAAAATACAGTGCACACTGTTTTGTTTTAAAATGACAGTTGAACAGCGTAAATTAATGGCAGACATCAGAAACATAATGTAAATATAACAAATGAATTTTATTTCTTGAAGATTAATGAGGTATATGAATTACAATTCTTCACAACGGCATATTTATCATGAAGCGCTAATGAGCTTCATGAAATATGCCGGTGTGAAGCGTCGTAGTTCATAACCTCATGAATCTTCAAAAATTAAATTTATTTCTTAATTAAACCAGGCCCATGATCCACAATGCTTACCCGAGTAATTTTGGCCCTTCTATTCTTCACCAAACATTTTCTTTGGTAATATATTTCATGGCCCTGCCCTACCCAAGGAGTCATGATTAGAACAATTTGTAATTTAGAGTTTACACTACCCAAGGATGCTTCCACAGAAGTTTATTTCAGCTTTTCTGGCCAAGTGGTTATTGAGAAGATTTTTGAAATTTTTTACTAAATATTTCAAGGTAAAACTTTGATCCTCGATTGTGTCCCCACCTTACCTCCTGGGTCATGATTTGAACAAATCTGAATCTACATTAAGGAAATTTGCATATAAATATGGCATATAAATATGACCAATAATGTCTTTTGCTGTTCTTCAAAAGAAGATTTTAAAAGATTTTTTCCTGTTTGTTCCCATGTAAAACTTTGACCTCCCATTGTGATTTTCAGCCCCTGGGGGTTATGATTTTAATTCACTTGAATATACATTACCTCACAATGATTCCACATTATTTTCATATTTTCAAGTTTCCAGATGTTTTGGAGTAGAAGATGGTGCCATTAATTGATGCCAATACGTAATATCGCGATTACCTTGCAGTTATCTAACTTACCTACCGCTCTTTTGCGGGGGAGTCAAGAAATCTCTAAATCTCTGGGGCAAATGACTTTGTTTACAATAGTGACAATCGAATGATTTGAATACTGTAAAACACCTTTTATTCGCGAGAACTTAATTTTTGCGTAATTACGCGAGACAGTGTGCTCACGAAAATTGAATTCTTGCGTATAATAGTATACCTTAAGATTATATAGAGCAATAGCCACAATTCGTGAAAATTTTGTGTCGCTAATCAAGAGTCAATGACTATCACACAAAAATAAGGTGTCGCGAAAATTTAGTGATCTACGGTAGTAGATTGACAAATAAGGAAAGTTTAGAATATTTCATCAGCTTTTAAATGTGACGATTTTCAATGAAAATTTAATGAGAAAAGTCCCCTTAGTTAAAAATATTGTTGAAAATGTAACACTTTAGGATTAGCTCCTCTCAAAAATTAATAAGGCTGGTTCAGCGATTGTCTAGCAAGATATTCCACCAGGATTTTTTTTACTTATCTGTCCTCATAAATTCTACAATGATCGATCTTTCATTGTATTCAATAGCAAATTTGTCCCCATCCAACAGACGATTCCTGCCTCCATCAGGAAAGAGTTCTAGACTGCTAAGTGAAGTAATTGCAATATCAAATATTAAATGATGTCATTTTAATTTTCATGAATTCATAATTATCTCCCCTTGGATGAAGGATTTTGGATCATGGAGGACTAATTTATACGCAAGTACAATGTATATGCCCAGCAGGCACACAACATTGAATAAACGTTGTTTCAACGTTGTTTTTCTATGTTGATTCAACATTGATTTTATGTTAGATTTTGAAAATTTGTATCAATTTGATTTGAATCAACATTGATAATCAACGTTGATTATATGTTGAAAAACAGTTGATTCAACATTTATTCAATTTTTTATTTTGGAAAGGGGGTGTCATATATACCAACTTATAATTTCAACCTTTATTGCATGGTTGCTAAGATGCCTTCTTAATTGTTGAAGGGATAGCGACCATCTGATAAGACAGATAATTTCCATCATATGTTTGATCTCATCAAATTAGTAATACTACTCACATTTTTCTTATTCTGTTTCCTGAGATCCCTGAGTAGTCAATTTGATGATATCCAACATATGATGGAAACATTACCTTCTATTTCTTTTGAAAATTTCATTTTAATTGTTTTATTATATTTAACAATGAAACATTTAAATCCAACATCAAATGCCTTATAAACTGAATAAGTTTTATCTTTTTAAGTACCATTTTAAAAATGGTTTAATATTTCGAGTACTTAATACATTATTTTTAATTAGAATGACTTTTTTCCACATGAAGAAATATTAAGAAGAAAGATAACTCCTCATCACAGATATATATATTTTTTTGTTACAACCATTTACAACATTGTGATTTTCTGACTTAGGAAACATCGCTCCATAATGTTTATTAAGGTATAATAGTAAGTATTATTTTCATATGCACCTCATATAATATATTTAATGTGGTGGTAATACATCGTTACTCTTTCTATTTTCTGTGTTCAATTGCTTCATTTCATGATCTATACATAACAAGAGGCCCACGGGCCTTATAGGTCACCTGAGTATCATGTAACAACTTTCCAGTGATTGTATTTGGTTCGTGTCTTAATCAAAAAGCCATGAAATTCACAAATTTTGAAGGAGGCACCATTGCTTATCAAAGGGCAAATTTCAAAGCATTAATTTATTTTTAGTCAAAGTACCCCCCTGGTACCCCTGACCCAGCGGCCCTGAAATTATCTATTTTGAAAGAGACCCCTTTCTTCATTATAAGGCCAGCATTTTTTTCCCCCGCTTGAAAAGTGGGGGATATTAATTTGGGTTTGTCCGTCCGTCTGTCTGTCCGTCCATCCGTCCGTCCGTCCGTCTTTCTGTCTGTCTGTAACGCTTTCGTTTCCACACGATATCTCGAGAACCCTTTGAGCTTTTGCAATGAAATTTAGCACAGCAACTCCCTATGGACTAAAGAAGACCCCTATTGAACGCTTTCGTTTCCACACGATATCTCGAGAACCCTTTGAGCTTTTGCAATGAAATTTAGCACAGCAACTCCCTATGGACTAAAAAAGACCCCTATTGATTTTGAGGTCAAAAGGTCAAAGGTCAAGGTCATAAATATGCAAATTCTGTCTGTTATAACACTTTCGTTTCCACACGATATCTTGAGAACCCTTTGAGCTATTGCAATGAAATTTTACATAACAACTCCCTGTGGCCTAGGAAAGACCCCTATTGATTTTGAGGTCAAAAGGTCAAAGTTCAAGGTCGTAAATTTATTCATTCTGTTTGTGTGTAACACTATTATTTCCGGGCGATATTTCAAGAAGATTTTGAGCTTATGCAATGTTATTTTATACCAAAAGTCCCTAGGACCTCTCTTACCACTCTCAAAGTGCCATCCCCGTTTGTTTTATTAGTATTTATAGTATAACATGTCGCTATTTTTAGCACAGGGGCATGCGGAGAGTTATTGCGTATAAAACAGGTTCTCGGCGGACTTTATGTTCTTATAACATCTATTAGAACTGTTTAATAAAGGCTAAATAAATCAAACACAGTGGATTGTATAAAATTTTGACAATATCGAGCATGAATATATACATGTATGTGACTTCACTTCTGCATATACGCAACCACTACTAAAGCGCCTCCGTGGTCTAGTGGTAAGTCTCCCGCTTCATATGTGAGAGGTCCCGGGATCGATTCTCGGACGATCCTTTTTTTTTTTTTTATTTTCTTTTTTTAAAAAATGATATTATTCAGCATGTGAAAAGAAAAATTTATGAGGTTATAAAATCATTAATACAGTGTGATAAATATTCCATATAAAAAGAATCTTCTATACACATAATAGAGAATAAGCAATCAAATCTTTATACGCATATTGACATAAATGTATTTTATTTGCATCAGTATACATGTATACATTTAATAATTCTACTAATTCAGTCAGGGGGATCCGACTTTTTCCCTAAGCGGGGGACACGAATTCTCTGAATTAGCTTGTTTATGTTTAGGTTTAGTTATGAACATGAGAATTTTTGATAAATCAATTATTAACATTTGTACATTCTTTTAAACAGGACTTTTTTCATGCCATTCGAATAGGCTCCTTACAACTGGACACATAAGACTTACAAATAGGAAAGTAGAACATTTAATTGCTTATATGCAATAGCTACCACGGGCAGTTTAAAACCTGGGGGAGGAAAATAATTTACAGACAGATACTTTTGAAACGAATACATAATTATCTCACCAGCATGTCATTGTGCAGCAAAGTCGTCAACATTTTATTTGTCCTTTGAACGGGTGAAACGTTTTGAATGGCACTCGTATCGATGAATTTTACACTTAACCAAGCTCAGATCTAGCTTTATTTACCCGCCGTTTCATCTTAAAACCGGAAGTGCGAGTTCGTAAATTTGAAATCTCGATCCCGACTCAAATTTGACATCGGAAAGAAAAAAAATTGTTTTATTTTTTTTCTGAAAATTCAAAACCTTGAGCGGAGGGTTTGTAAAACTGAAAATAAAATAAATCCTGGCCTTAAATATGTAATTAGGTCATTAGTATATTAACCAGGAGCAAAGGATAAGATGTTCAAAGAATTCATGCATTTCACTATTAGAGCCCCACCCTAAAACAAGAACCCCTGACCCTGGGGCCATAAAATTCACAATTTTGGTAGAGGCACTCTTGCTCATTATAACTATGTACTTAGTTAGTTTATTTAATACCCAGGAGCAGAGAAGAAGATTTTCAAAGAATTCATGTATTTTCACTATATAA